CCTATACTGTAGATAGGTCTTAGTCATCAGGTCTACTCCACTTCCTTGTTGCCTGCTTAGTATCTTGGCACTCTTAGGTGAGCAGACTTAGTCAGCCTGTGTTGCCCTAACACTCTCCATCTCATAAATGAGGGCAGCTGTGAGTTTCTGGATATCAGAAGCTGACATGTGTTGGAGGGAGTGACTTGTAGCATCTTGCTCAGTTTGATACCCTGATGCAGGATTGGGACGTCAGAAGCTGAATGCACAAAGCTGCACAGATGGCCAAACCTGAGGACAGCATGTTTTGACATCATAGCTCAGCTGTGACTTGGTTGATCATTTGAATGAAGAGTATGAGTTTCATTTGCTGAAGGCTGTCGATCCATTGGGGATGGAATGAGATTGTGGCTGCCATGGGGGTTAGGATGGCATTGAGAACCTATCTGAATAAAATACAGACCTGGGTCCATTGCCAATCACAGGAACTGATGTGCAGGGTGTAACATCATAACTGTCACTGGAAGGGAGCAAGTTGAACATGATGTGGAGGTGATGAGTGGAGGAGAGTCGGGCTGTGGGAGCAGCTGCCTGACAATGGCACTCCCTGAACCTTTGAGGCCAAGTGAGATTTGGTTGATAGCACTTTGGGTCATCACCTCAAGAGAGGCAGCTTCTTTGGGGGGTCAGAGGTCCATGGCAATGTCAGAGAGTGCAATGAGGGGGTGAGCGGTGATCCAAAGTGACTTGAGCTCACCATCAATGGCCTGGCAATGTGGAAGCTTTATTTGAGTAAGGAAGAAGTGTTAGACATTGAGATATCAAATTTGAAAACAAGAATGTCATTAACATTTATGTGTACATTCCTCAAATGTGATGCCAAGAGGAAAGACATTGGGAAGGAAAGATTGTACCATCAACAATACCTCTGGAGCTAGCCTGTGTGTGCTTTGAAAACCCATTGTTATGAAACAATGTTCCTCCAATCAACTCTATGGAATGATTCCCTATTGCGGATACTTGTGAAAAAGTGGAGGTTAGGGAGGACTTGTTACATAACGTCTTTGTGGATTGGATTGGAATACCCTGTGACAGCAGTGTTGAGAGTCAACTGTATCATGATATCAGTGCCTTCCTCATAAAAGTACACATGAAACACCTCCAGTAAGTTGTCTGAGACGTTGGGTAGGGGATACTGCATGGGAAGTTGTCTCCCCACATAACTTTCAAGCCAATTCATCATTGAATTATGTTCTGACAGCTGGCTGGGATGCCAACTGTGGGTGGAGGGGCTCTGAGGGAAGTCAATGGACTGATCATGGACATTTGCCACATCTTTGATTGGGTGAGGCCAATTGGAAGGAGGCAAGGGAGGATCATGCAAGAGTCTGGGGTGAGAACCCATGAGAGAATGCTGTTATTATGGTTTGGGGAGTTGACAAGCTGGCAGATCCAAGGGTATTGGGAATGGAAAAGTTATGGAGAATGCCACCTATGACATGCATGATCTCCTGAGATGGCGGAGCATCTTGGGTGGTAGGTACACTTTCAGCAATAGAAACTGGAGGAGACAGCATGATGGCAGCAAGTTGCACGTCTCCTGGCTGAATGGCCACTGGTGCAATGTTGGGACATGGAGAAGGTTGGGAATATTGCATCAATGTTAAGCCATGTTGAAAGGAAGCAATGACATTGACAGTGCCATCTGGAAGAGTGATGTTAAAAGGCACATCTAGGCAAGGCAGGAGGCCTGTTTGGTGGTATTGTTGCTGCAACCCTATGATTAGTGAAGGGAGATGAATGAAATAGGCTGGGCTCACGTAGGATCTCATAAATTGATAAACTAAGTTGTGCCTGACATGCACTGGGCCTGACAGTTCAATTCTGTAATGACAATTACGAATAAAATGTAGTGGAGACCATCCACTGGTACCACATGCCAATTGTCAATAACATCCACAGCGTCCTCCTTGGGAGGTTGAAAAAGGGCAAGACAAGCTGATTAGAGCATTCATCAGCTATCTTTGCTAAATAAAATGTTTTTACACAGTGCGGTGCAGACTCCCACTAGTCACATCTCCAGATCTGGTGAAACCCATGTCCCCATGATTGGACTCATATGCGAGGAGGCATTTTGCTAAGTCAAGCAGAGAAGGTATTGGTTTTGAGGGATTGTAGGTGGCAAACCTGGCTATTCCACATGGCAAGTGTTTGGGGGTCAGCCATGTTTCGAGTGTTATGACCACATGCTTAGTTGAATGTTTGTGTTGTCTTTAACCCAGACATTGAGCATGCCTGGTGCTATCCACACTGACACAATGCCTTTGCAGACTGTGTTGCAATGTGGTGAGAGACAATTTCTAGCATCGAGAAGCCTCCAAATGAGATATATTGGTGTTGCATCAGTGAAGAACCAGAGATTAGCACATAGAAGATGTACAATGCTCTATTAATATTATATATATATATACATGTACAGAAGGAGTCCTCATGTTTGCATGATGCAGTAGGGTCCACCAACATACACAGACTGCCAGCAGTTTCTTTGACCTTGACCACGTTGAGCTACCTGAGACTTAAACTGGTTGCCAGGACAGAAATCATTCTACCTCAGACTTAAACTGGTCACCAGGAGAGAAATCATCTGCTGATACTATCATGAGCACCACAGTGAGGGGTTCTTACTGATCCATCTAACAGTACTAATAACTCAGGATTTGCTGAGTGACATGGACCAGAGGAGAATTGATGAAGTGGTGGACCATGTCAAGAAGTACTTAGAGACATCTGGTGCATGGAGGGGGTACCAATATATGCTGCACTGACATTGAGCATGCATCAGAGGAATGATTGACCTCCCTGTATCGAGCAATATCACCAGATCCTCACCAAAAGATTGTTCTCAGTCGGACCCTCCATGCTGTGAGGCAGCACAAAATGTGGACAATGATGTTGTGGAACATATCTAACACTCCTCCAGGAAACATGGACAATATCTGGTGCACACATGAGCTGGATGTGCTGCAAACGTTGCAGGTCAGCTCTTCAACCTGGGTTGCACCTAAGACTGACAGGTGTGCTCCCAGGAGTGCAGAATCACCACCAATCATCTCTTGGCTTAGGTAGTCAAGGAGTTGGAGAGCAATTCAGACGCTGGTGGAGATTTCAGGACGGGAGTGTGAGGGAATGATGTTGGCATGACTGGTAATGGTGTTGCAGATTTGGCAACACTCAGATCATGCCTGGTGAAGGCAGTCTCCATTTGGAGCCAAAGTTTTGTGTATGTAGGTAGGGGAGGAAGGAATGGACAGGCATGTGACTTCCATGAAATCTAAAAGGAGTGACAGTAAATGTGCATTTGCTTGATTTCACATGACATTACACAGACAATGTGACCCTGGAATGAAATTGCTTAATACTAGTACAGTGTAGTATTCTGGATCTGGCAGTAATGTGAGGAGAATGGTTATTTGTGTTGGAGTGGGTAATATGAGGTGGTCATGAGCTACAATACAGTGTTTGTTATGATAGAACTGTAGGCAATCATGTGTCTGAGTGCGCATCAGGACTGAGCCCATCCTGACATTCCAGTGCTTCACATAGACATTTGTTCTCCTCCTTCAATGCATCCATCTGATGTCTGAGAATAATGATGAGGTGCATTTTGCAAATTGATTCTTCTTCAAAAGCCTTGGCTTTATTGTGCCAAAATGAGGAGTTGGCGGACTGAGCATCAGCATTGAGCACAAAATCGACAGGGTTAGCACATGAGCTCATGAACCACACACGTTGTCATCCATAGTTAAATCCACAACCTTCACCCTCTTTGCATTGTGCAGCAGGGTGAGTCCAGCCTGTGAAGTAGAGCATTTACGGGTGGTGGAAGGTCCGGGGGAAGGCTGTGAAGGAGGGGGATCTGGAAAGGTGGTGGGACGCTCTTTCCAAGTTGCAGCAGTGGTTGAATCAGGTGTGGTACAAAGGGTCGGCGTGTGCATTGAACAGGTGCCTTGGGACATGGCCATGGGCTCAAGGATGTTATCAGGATGGTACTGAAGAAAATCTAGATAAGCCTGTAAAGCTATATTGATATTGAGGGTGAGCAAGCATTTTAGGTAGCAGGACACTTATGTTGTGTTATGTTGTCAATTGAATGCTGCAAGGAAGACATGCTGAAGCTGATAAGTGAAGGTGAATTATCGGGAACGTTGTTACTATTAAGGGACGGGTGAACGGAGGGACATATGCTTCCGTTGACGCGTTCAAGTCACGGTCCTCCTGACCCCTTTTCTGTTTTGCGCTCAGTGACCACTATGGCAGACCGTCTGACTTTTGGTGCTTGTGCGACGCTTGTAAACAGTTACGACAAAACCTTCAAGAACTTGGTAATGCAAGTGGTGGACATGTATCCGGGAACGATAGAAGGACAACGTGTAGGACAGCGGGATGAATATGGGTAAGTGGACGATGGATTTTGAGTAGAAGCACGGCGAGCTAAGTGTAGCAAACAGTGCTACTATATCTGACGGAACATTTGCTCTGCTGGTTATGCTCTCGCCGAAACTCAACAAGTATATTGAAGAGGGGGGTATCCAATCTGGAGCGTTTCTGCAGATCGAGTCGGTGAACAGGAAGACGGTAGCGGGCTACAGGTACGTATACACCTTGGACATGTCGTTTTGTTCTCAAAAGAGTTTCTAGATCAATTACGGTCACCAGAGGAGTACCTGTTGGCACGCCCGGAGACATCTGCGGATCTCCAACAGAGATCAGCCTTCGGGTAGGAGCGATCGTTCCTACCGATCCGGTAGTTGGCACAACGCCCCCCAGCTGCGCTCGTACTGCGAGTCGCACGAGTTTTAAACGTTCGAGCCCGTCGAAGAGCCAGTGCGCTACTCCTCTTGTGCCCAAGGATCGGGCCGATGGCGGACATCTTCGTTCGAACGGCGGATCGAAACAGCAACCCTCCGCGTCCCAATCAGGAGGGGAAGGAAGAAGCGTGACGATCAAGTCCATCACCGCGTCGAAGGCTGTCGCCAATGGTGGCCAGCCACAAGGCAGGCAAGCCTACGGCGGGCTGAACAAAAACAGCAAAGTAATCAGCATGCATCCTCATGCGAAGGTGTCTGTCCCAAACGTGAGCTCGAACATACAGGCTTTGACTTCATCCGAGTGCCAACCGAAGTCTTCATCCGCCGCGACGGGGTTGTCCGCAGCCAACGGGCAATCGCCTGCTTCTGCGAATGCCGTCTCAACTGTCAAGACGACCCAACATTTCAACTTGTCCAACTTCATCACCGCCGTAGCCTTGGAACACGTGGAGCCCACTCGTATTGCGTTCTCAGAGCTGAACGCAGGCCTACGCTTTGATTGGATGACATATGGACGCATATACGAGATCAGCGGGCCCCATCGCTGGAAAAACAAGACGAAGGAAGGCTTTGTTCTAACTTTGAAGATTGTGGATAAGGATGGGGTATGTCTATAATGTCAATGACTTGATGAGCTACGCTAACATTATGCAGAATAAGATGCTCGTCGGCTCGTTTGACCCCGTCGTGATTGAACGCGTAATGGCCGAGGCTGTTGTGGGAAAGGTGAGAGGTGATCTGATATTGCGGGGCGGGATGTTACTCACGTAGCGTGCATCAGGTGATGAAACTAAGCAACGTGCGAGTCTGTCCAGTGAAGGAAGAATTTCTCCAGCCGGACATCTTGCCTTTGCAAATGATGTTGAAGTACAACTCCACTTTCTCCTTCCCAAATTCTGTACGTCCAAGTGGCTCGAAAGGGGGACATTTCACTGACTGGTTTTTAGGACTTCGAGATACCAGCAATGCCCATGCAATTGACAGGCATTCACCTGCTCCGTGGCCTGGAGTTCTAGTCCCGCGTGAACGTTCTGGGTGTGGTTCTGCATGTAGGGCAGGTGGCTTCCTTTTCCAAGAAAAAGCGTGTCGCTGGTGAAGAAGCCGAAGGTGATGAAGGAGATGATACGGCGGAACGCCGCCGCCTAGAAGTGCAGCCAGTGGACAGATCGCTCTTCGTTGTCCGTTTGACTCTGTGGGATCAAAAAGCAGACGACTTCAAGGCCAAGCGCGGGGACGTTTTGTTGCTGAAAAAAGTTGTTGTGGTGAATCATGGTGGTGTAAGCTTGAACGCTTACAAGTTCACCAAACTGGATTTCGAACCCAATATTAGTGGGGTGACCGAGTTGAAGGACTGGTAAGTCAAGGTACTACACGCGAATTATTATTGATGATGCTCCAGGTACAGCGCATTGCCGGAAGATCCTGGGTTGAAACACGTGTCTTCTGGTTACAGTGCTTCTGCTCGCCTACGGGACGGCATTGTTCCGCGATCATCACCGTTATCTATCAAGGACGTGCTGGAGTCCAACCTCGGTCATGGTGCGAGAGTTGATACGTTCCACTTGGAAGAAGCGATTACCGGTTTTGACCGTCAAACTCTTTACGAAGGATGCCGGCACCCAGACTGCAACAGGGGCCTCGAAAATCGTGAGCATGCTTGTGGCATCGCCAGTCATACAGTTCAGTCGGAGGACGATGGTGAAAAGCGTTGGTGGTGAGTAGTGAAGCAAGATGGTTGCCAGACGGTCTACTTGATCTTACAAAGTTATAAGCTGGTGATGACGGTAGGGACGAAGGCCAAGGAAATGCTCAAAATCATGGCCTTCTCGCCTGTGGCGGACGAAATTCTGAATGAAGCTCCAGAGGAATTGGTGAAAATGAGAGTAGGTGTCTTCCACAAAAGTCCCAAGACGTAGCTGAAGCAACATAGGACAATAACGAACGCGGGTATGAGGCACTATTATCCTCCAAGCTTGGGACAATCTACAGATTCACTATTCAAGCTCGCACTCGGCGCTGGAAGGTACCGTTCATCCTGTGAGAGCTGAAACGTGGCACTAATATTGAATAGAATGTTGACACCGGGAAGTTTTATACGGAACTGCAGTATTACGTCGTCGCCGCTCACCTGAAAGAGGAAGACGAGGAAGAACAGCCCGTGGAAGAGGTGGAGGATGAGGGGGACGGGGAGGGGGAGGAGGAGAATGCGGGGGCGAAATGGACCTATGAGTTCTGAGAAGATTGTCTGCCCATTAGTCTGCTACGATAGATTACGCTTATGATTGTACAACTATGCAAACGTTACACCTGCCACCCATACTACGGACACCTATACCGGATATCCTGAGATTATCCGGCGGATTATCTCCCGGAGCGCTCGAGATTATCCCGAAGCGACCATACCCAGAGAGCGCCCTGGGATTATCCAGTTTGGCGCTCTTAGAGCGTCTAGGATGATCCAAGTCGACTGAGTCGGCTGGCCCGAAGCAGGTTCCTGTGCCGTGGTTCCGAGAAGTGATAGTAAGAAAAGTGAGCGTCCCTGAGTGGTACATCGGAAGACATAGCGATTGAAAGTTTCATTTGCCAAATACTGGGAATTTCCAACTAAGACGTTTACCCGTACATTCATTTTCGAGCAGCGGTCACCAGGTAACTCGGAAGGGGTAAGTTCGTCCCAACCCAAATTCTTGAACTTTCACTCGTTTCCGGCATCGGAAGTTAGGAGTTGGGAAAGTTGAAGAAGTAGAGTCAGTCTGAGACGGTTCTTCAGCTGGCTGCAGTCTAGTGACCGAGAAACACCCGGAACAAGTTGTTCCGGATGTTTCTCGGCCACTCCGCATTTTCACGACATACTTGGGGTAACTGGTCATGAAAACGAGGGTAATAGGCCCGTCTATGAAAGAGTTATTGAATATCGGGAAACCTCATTCCGAGCGCATGACACATGTAGATGCCATATGGTAACTCGCGGCTACATGGCATAGTGTTGTCCCTCGCTATAGCCCGTTTAGTGTCTGGAGTCCTGATATAGCTTGTTCTTGAACAAGAAGTTTCTATTTCAAGTGTGTAAAGTCCGGGAAGTTGTGGTGGCCATGATAAGAAACATCATCGTCACGCGCACCTGCTTTCTTGTAGGTGGCCATCAGCACGGAGGGTAGACAGCAGACTTTGTTTCGCATGCAGTGCGCCATTATCGGTCAGCTGTTCGTCTCTCAAATGTGACAGTCAGCGTGTGTAGTTTAAAACACATGCAGGCCATATATTTCCCTGCTGGGCGTGCGCCTCAAAGGCTTCTAAGGTCATCTGGTCCTATTAGAGCCGAAGCAACATCATTTGTTCAGTGGGATTGCTTTCGTGTTCAAGTAATGATCCTGAATCGATATCTCTGCTTGTGCAAGCCCCACACTTTCACCCAGAATTGCGGAGTCAGAAGCAATGTCCTGCTACTCGCAAACCACGACACCGGGTTCGCTTTATCCTTCAACTTCGGGAAGCCAGTCAGCCGGCGTAGTCTCATGCTGTCAGCCGTTTGAGTGGGAGGCATAGATAATGACATGTGCGTGGAGATCTAGGCTGTCTCATGAAGCCAATAATTATTAGGGAGTATCCCGACGTGACACTTGCTGGCGTCCCCCGAAAGCTGCGCGTGAAAGGTTGAAAGGGAAGATGATCCTGGGTTGGATTCTGCTGGAGATGTGCTTTACTTGGTCTGGTATCAGAGAGTTGCCAGACCACATGCCCTGTCCAGGGGGAACAAGCGGGTGCCTTTATAAATTGCGGATTGCGCCTATAAAGAACCTGCATAACACGAAATCCCCTGAAGAGCAGCATCCAATCGCGCAATGAGGCTGCGTTGAAAGGTATTCTTCGGCACCGGAGACCCTTGCCGCCGCAGGACACTCCGCAGGGACTGGGGAAGAGAGAAATAGTGCATCTTTTTACCCGTCCATTTGGATGCTGATTCAGACGGAGTACCAACCACAATGCCACGCAAGAGCAAAAAGGATCAGGTTACGTAATTTTGTGGAGCAGGACAAAGCAAGAAGCCCTCTCGATTCGGTCAAGCAGAACGGGACGGGCACTAACTTCAGTCATCAGGACTTTTTCTGAACATACAGCCGAGACAGGATTTGACAGACAAGTGATCATCAATACCGAAGTAGTAAGTCATGCTCTGCCCCCTTTAGCAACTGGAGCTGAGCAGAAATTCCGGGATAGAAAGCCCCGGATCGATATGGTGCCTCATGATGACATGATAGCTTCTACTAACTGACTAAATATCCCGTAGTTCTGAACGAGGAAAACATTGCACTCACACCCATAATCCAGCAGGTCACCACCTTGGCGGCCGAAGTCAGTGCATCAAGAGCCCGTCACCGAACAGCCATTCTGGACTCCGTTTGTTTCGGAGTGATCTAGCCTCGGCATTAGTGTCGATTCTTGAGAACTGCAAAGTATATGCATAAGCGCTTACGGGTTCTGGCTTGGGCAGCACGCCGAGCGCTCTGATCCGGTGGAGGAGGCAGGGAGCCGACGAGCAAGATGTTGGACGAGTCTGGTGCCTGCGCTGAACGAGATGCTTGGGTTCCCCCATGTGGGAGTAGTGATGTATTGAGCCGTGACGAGGCATTAGCTGTCGCTGGTGGATTCCGTAAATACGCTGAGTTGTTGAGGAGGCTGGAAGGTGAGAGCGGAGAGACATAATTCAAAGTGGGGCTTCTTCTGGGTGAGGGCGAAGTGTTGTCCGAGGTTGCATCGGCAAAATATGTTCGTTCCGCAGTTCTCAGTCCCTGCCGCATGGCATAATCAATGTTTCCCACGGATGGCGGAGAAGAGAGCCGTGTGTCCATTGGGCAAGGGAAAGTTGAGCCTGACATCCGACTCTCCGTTCCACCTACATGGGCGGCGAACATCGGAAATGAGGCTGCAGTTATGTGGGGCTTCACGCACCAGCAAGATTCCGGGGTGAGAATTTTTCACTGCCATTCCCTGGCTCGCTCTGAGGTGTAGAAGGGAGAGCATATGCCATATTCGTTCCTCGGAAATGGGGCACTGGTGCAGGTGGTAGTGTAGATGGCAATGTGGAAGTCTGGCTAGCATGGCGAGCAGTCGTCCTGATTCACATTTGAGTCTCTTATAGGCTTACACAATATGGACTCACCCCAAAGCGGTGCTGGGGTCTCTGGTCGCCCTTCCAATCATTGCAGGCGGCAGTTGTCTATGAGAAGGACTTGAAGGAGAAGATCGCAGCATGACAACTCCACCGGAAAGACAAAGGATGAAAGAGATTGATACTCGCAGAAGAGCGGCGGCAAGTATTTATCCCCCTCGCGAAGGTATATCCGCTCATCAACACTTTGGTCAGGCGCTTCCGACCAGCTGCTATGCCGGATGTGATCAGGGCAAGACTTCAGACCAAGGATCGCCCTGCCAAAGATAGAGTCCCGATTGCATTGCACAGTGATATCGAGATGGCCATACAATTTAAGGTTGATGCATGGCCGAAGGAGAGCGCCATCATCGTGGAGTCGAGCGCATGACTGCCTGCTGGCTTGAGCATGGCTCAGAACCCAGGCACCATGAAAGATGAACGGAGGAAGGGAACTGATAGACCGAGGTCGGCCGTCGCGAACGAAAAAAAATCAGCAGCGCCCGAATCCTGGATTCCCGCGGAGAACCCTGATAGCGCCCACGGCCGATGGCGGAATCGACCGTATTAGGATGCCGTGTTCGGCTGCCTTCATGGGACTGCTTATCGATGACATCCAACCGGCGTTTGCTTACAATGGGAAAGCGAGGTCCTCAGGACCTTTCCGACCGGAATTCTCGCAGAATCTTCACCAATGGTGTGGATTCGTATATGTTCCCGGGTACGCTCACACAGGAAACACCCATATTCTGATCACACAGAACGATGAGCCAGGCGACCAACCCACGGGCGGTTATAGACCACGAACTGTTACGTCTGGAATGTCCACAACGACCTCACCTTCCTCCAGGTAAAACACATGTGTCACGTACGCCGAGACCGGGTAACTTGACTGGGTTTCCCTGCGTCGAGGAGGATGTAACGGTTTTGAGCGTTGGCCCCCAAGGTCCGCTCGATTGAGAGAACGGACAATAGCACTTTCGGGATATTTCAGAAAAGCATTGACGTGGTCTGTTGTCAAAACTTACCGAATGTAGTCGCTGGCTTTGTATCCATGTGTTTCACGATCATTCTTCGCATTTACTATGAATGTCATTCAATCCCGGCATCGTCTGCCTCATGTGTTTCCTTACAGAGTAGAATCTTTGCCTCCAAACTCGGTGACGTGGCAACGGCAGTTGCCACTCCTCGAAGAGCTAAACAGGGTATTATTCTGGGATCGTGTGTAAGTTTCTATGAGACCACGATTCATGCAGGCTTACGACGTCCAAAGCGATCCGCATGAATAGATTAGGGTTCGCTTCTCAGATAGGCTCTCTATAAACTCCGGATTAGGCGAGGGAAATATTTCCTGGTCACCGAAGTATTATTAGCTGGACTGTCATCACAGCTCACAGAAGCTGTTGCGCTCACTTGGCCATACGAGTTTAAATACAGTAAGCCTATCATTAATGGTTACTCGAGAGTTGCGTACAGAAAGGGTAATCGCACTCACGGTTAATTGGCGCGGCGAGGCGGTGGTCTTCTCTCCCTTCTTCTTCTGCTCCTTTACTGAAAGCTATATTGCCTTTTACAATATTAGTCCTCGTGCCCACAACTGTCTTACACGCAACATGCCAGGAGAAGTGACCCTATCGAGCTCGTCTAGCCCGTCGTCATCATCAAACACAGCAGAACGAGTACTGTTAGAACGGTTGACACGGTGCCGGGAAGATCGGATGGGGTGTGAGATATCACACTGCCCAATGATAGCATCCCCGTTCATCTGGTATGGACAGGTAGGCATATGAGCTCCCCTGTGAATGGGAGAGCACAATACGTACTAGCTCAGCACTGATGGTCACTGTATGATTCGTTACGATAGTTGGCAGTATTCGTGCGTTTGTCTGTTCAATAAATGTTCAGCAAAAAAAGAGTAGACGAGGTTTCTAAAAGTTATGGTGTACCTGAGCACCCGTGATGGATCCGAACAAGAATATGGCAGATGGAAGCGAGCGCAAAAACAACTGCATGGAAGCAAGCAAGAAGTTGCCAACACTACCGTTCCGGAACACGAAGCTCTTATGCGCATGTCGGAGGAGTTCTGCTTCGAAGTATACAAGAAATCCTGTGAAAAACATGATTTAGTTCATTTGATTCAGCCATTATGTGCGTGGTATATGCACACACCTCGTATGGTTTCTTTCCGATCCGGGGGTATGCCTCTCCACAACTCACTACGGCCTTCTACGATCTCCCTCCACTCTTCTCGGGCACCATGTTCTGACCTCTCGAGCGAGAATCGATGGGACAGAAGGGCCCGAATAGCTTCTGTGGCTGTCTGAGTACTTGATGAGGCTGGTGACGATGGAATGAGGCGGATCAGGCGTGAGCGGAGATCCCCGACTGACGGTCCGCCTTACTGGATGTCAATGTCTGTGTTAAGCCAATAAACAAGGATGCAAACCGAGTACTCGTATGATCTTTGACACATGTCAGACAAACCTCATCACTTGCGTCGATGATATTGCTTACCTCGCTAGAGCTTCCCCCGTTATCGGACACCGGCAACACGTACACCACGTCGCTTTTCGTGAAGGTACCCACAATGGAATTCCCCCCTGTTCCCCCAGATATTACAACAAAAGACATATCGTCCAGGTCATCTTTTAATGCCGCTCCACTCATGTTTAATGCTGGTGTCCGCAAAAGTTGGTCGGGGCGTGGGTTCCACGAGGACTGTTCTCCGATTGGGAGATCAAATACTGAGGAACCTGGACTGCCCGATAAGTCGGGCGGCCCCAGTGTCTGTGCAGCATTTTGAACCGGTTCCACAGCAAGTCGCAACATTAGGCTAAGAATTCAGGGATACAAAACGGCGAACTCGAAGCCCGCACTGAACGACGCGTTCAAGTGGCGCAATGCACCTCGGAAAAACTGCTCGGAAAAACTCCCAGAACACAAATTGTTGCACACAACAATATTTATTTGGGATTTGACCAAGCCTTGTGCAGTATACTGAATAATAAAATGCAGAACGTCTAGCATTAATTATTTGATACTCTTCTTCCCCCTCAGGCTTAGAGCAAGTTAGTGGTGTATGATGATGAAATTGACCCTGACCGACCCCGCGAGTGGGCTCGCGTTTCGAGAAGTATACGCAGCGACAACGCGACAACGGACGTGTGTCGAACTGAGAAATCTCCACTATGATATGCTGAATCTGTCACGTCCCTAGAACGACAATACTAGTTCATCTTTACGATGAGCGGTTCACAGGATAGCGATTTGCCTAGTCGGCGGCCTATTGGTGCTCGGCCTCTACCCACGAATAGACGCAGCCAAGGGATGCTCATGCGACGACATGGCACCAAAGACTCGGACGACGCTGCTGGTCCTCCTGTACCTTTGGTCGCTGCGGAACCACCAATTGATGAAGACGTTCTCCAGGAACCCGCAGTGATCGATTCTGCAGAAACGCCGATTATGCCATTACCCATGGTCGAATCCCCCCTCGCATCCCCTCGCCTCCTCGCGGTTTCGCGGCCATCAGGCGTTAATTCACCATCTCTCTTTGTGCTATCACCCAAACCGGTTATGGTATCCTCTCCGATGGCGATGACGCCTGATACACCCCTGCCAGGGCAGACGGCGTCACCCGGTAAAGCGTTTCGTGCCCTCCAACTCCATATCTCTCGCGCTAGGAATGTCTCACCTGGCCCACCATCGCCCGCTTCACAACAATGGTCTGCACTGCGCCAAGCAGTGAGAGCTGGTCAAATATCACGTCTGGGTTCTCCAGCACCTTCTGATCGAGTATTCCCTGTTCGACGTATCGGTTCTCCTGCTACTTCCGAACGGTCGTTCTCATTGCCCCGACCTAAGGCCTCTGTACCGAAGTCATCTCGATTAGCAAGATTTGGATCGATCGATCTTCCGCAGCCAGTCCGAGGGGCAGAGATGCAGGAGGCACGGAAATTTGAGACGGATGTGCGGGATGCCTGCTGGACAAGCCAATATGCAAGGAATGCGCACGCGAGACAGAGGGGCACGGCGGACAACATTAATGAGGCGGGTGGATACTTTTTGACGCCGACATTAACGACCTCAAGCATGCATCTGCCATTTGTTGGATCGAATACGTCGATCTCCAATTTGAGTGTGCCATTAACTGGAGTTGACACACCGACCCTCGGGCTGGGCGGAAGGCGGAAAGCACCTAGTCAACTACAATCGCCTCCAATGAGCACAGTAACCGGTGTCCACCTGCAACCTCTTTTTGATGTCCTTTCTCGCTATACTCAAATTGCATATCAGGCACCTGGACTTTCTTGGCTTGCTCGTCTCCCTGCAGAGACAGAAGTCCTTGCAGTACTGGCTCTCCCTTTCGTTGCCGCGGAACAAAGCCATGCTCTGGAAGAACAGAAATTTGCAGTTGATTGCTTTGACGTTATATTGCGAACATGGCCCGCAACAGATATAGAGGTAAGCGACCTTTGACTTCGAGTATGTATATGTAATTGATTCGTGGGCCAGGATATAATTGATCGGTTGCTTTGGTGCTGTGAATCAGCCAGTCGAGCCCAGGGCACTCTGCTGAACCGTCTTTTGAACATGATCCGAACAATGACTGTGCCGGTCGGCCGTCCACAGCAGTGTACACTGTCTGCGTTGCGGGCATGTTTCCGTGCTTTGTTCGCCCTTCAGATCGCTATTTCGCCCAACTACGATATTTCCAGGGTGATTTCTAATATATCTCAAGGCAAATGGATCATTGTTGATGTGGACGCCTTGAACGAAGAGCTTGGTCGGAATCCAAGCACGGAAATGGATGTTCACGCGATGATGCCCTTGATCGCTGCTCAAGTCGTTGCTCGCATGGTCGATACGGAAGATCATGTTCAGAGGCAATGGTGCCTTGCGTCATTGCAGGTCGGACATTAGGTTTGAATAGCGATAAGTCTCTGACCTGGATTCAGGATTTCTGGCCTGCCCCCTCGAGCTCCTTTTCTGACATCCAGGCTGGTCTGTATGTCACAGTCGGATGCACCTTTTGTACAGTCGCTGCAAACATCGTGAGGCGAGATCCATCTCAGCGCCAACATCTTGTATCACTTCTCAATCGTCTATTTCAATCCCGCATTGTTTCATATGGGCGGGAACGGCAATGGCAATCTCGAGAACTTTGCGGTGCGTTCGCCTCATTTCTCTTCGCCGTCTTGCTCGCGGGAGAAAGCGAAGAACAACAATTGGGCTGGAATCTAGTTTCCGAATTGTGGATGAGCGGTGAACTCGGAAAGAATGCGCTCGTGGAAGAACTCGGCATACATGTGGGTCTGCTCAAAACAGTTCGATGGACTTTGCTTATTATTTGAAGATGATAACCGCCAGCCTCACCGACATTGTCCAGTTATACAGTGGATTTGCACGCAGTGGGCACGATTGGAATGATGTGATGTCGCGGATAATTCCGATTTTGTTTGAGGTGGGATTCTCGCGATCTCCTTCAGACAATGTTTTTCATTGTTTGAATCAAAGACTTTTGTGATCAGACCACCTCTACCCGAACCGGCCATTTCGACAATGATGACCATGCTTGGACAGCAATATCCACAACATTTCTACAGGCCATTGTTCTCTTGTGCTGGCTCAGTGAAGGATGATGTTGTTGCGGCGCAACTCGCAACCTTGACTGTTGTGGCGCACCTAACCCCCCATTTCTGGGTGTCCAACTCTGAAATGGTGGCAGTGGCGTTGCTTGGTGATGTCGGTACGGGTCTTGGTAAGGGAAAGGGAAAGGAAGGCAGTGTACTCAAATGGGGGAGAACCCGAAGTGGGCAATGCATTGTCACTTTGGAGCTCATTCATGAATTGAGGCGGATCTGTGGGGACATCCCGGGAATTCCAGTTCGTGCTCATAAAAGTGTGCAGGCTCGTGCTGATTACCAGACATCTAGGGACTAGACAGGATCTCGTCAAGCATAACTCGCTTTGCCGCTGAATTGGAAAATCAAATCGCAATTTTGATTGATGCCAAGGTGACGTCCCCGCAGACATCATTGTGTGGGATAAGCTCTCAACTCGGTGGTAGGAACAAGCGGTACTATTGCCGTTCTCCCAGAGAGTTCTACTAGCCAATGTGCTATTGTGTATTCGTAAAGTGACCCGGTCTCTCAAAGCGTACGAATTCGCTTTGTGTTCTGACACAAGGCATCTGATATTTGAGCCCAGCGCCACATGGCTTTCGCGTATATCAGCGTGGTGTTACGAAGCCCATATTGGGGCAAAAGCAACGAGTTCAAGAATGTCTTCTGATGGCGGAAACGATGCGTCACAGGGGCAATTATCGTTCACTAATGTTACAGAGGAAGTTCTGGATGAGGTTCAAGCAACTTTCGCAAGGGTACAGGAGATCTATGCAGCCTGTATTGCTTCCGCGAAAACCTCGAAGGTGCGGTTCATACTCCCTCTTTGCTCTGCGGTACGCTAACTTACGACAGGGGAGCCGACCACTATCTATTGCTTCGACACTGTCCTCCCAGATCAATCTCCCTCCACCAAGTGGACGCCAAAAGATAGACCAGTGGGATGATCTCATGTCTCACAAGTACACCGTTTTGAAGACTATTTCCTCGGTTCCTGCTGTCTCTTTGCTTTCATTGTTGGTTGCAGTAAATGGTTTGCTGCAGCAAGAAGACTATTCCCTGTTTGGTCGTGTCGTATGGAATAGATACCTTGACAACAACGATCATGATCTTATCCTTCCTGTAAGTTAGTTCCTCTTTTTGCGGGGTTCATTCTAAGCATTCTACCTCATTAGGCTGCATTCTTGTTTATGCAGTTCGGGGAGCGACACTCGGAAGAGACTTTGACACTTATTCGCGAGGATCTCCTCAGGTTAGCCCCCATGAAACAAGCTGCTGTGGTAGTAGAACTGATAATGGCTCAGTTCGGATGAGGAAATGCAGCAAAGAACTCTGCGGCGCCTCTCAAACCTCCTGAGCCGAAGGTCACAAATCTTGGCACAATTTCATATTACGGACAGGACCCACAGACGCCCCTTCAAAGGAATCCGACAACCCATCTCCTTTGTCGCCACTGACATCGGCTCGAGCAATTATGTTGAGACCATTGAAGAGGAGGAAGGGCTTGACCTGACCGCTGGAGTTGTCCGTGAAGTCAAGAAGAGATTACTCGAAATCGGATGGGTCGAAGATGAGAACGAGGATGGCAGTGAGACAGCCGCAGAGCGCCTCGCATTATCGCTCGTCCCATCATCGCTCTTGACTCGTCTCGGTTCTTCCCCAAGTGGGCAGCCTACCGTCAACAACCAGCCAACTTCTAATCAAGCCGGCGATGGCCAACAGGCTCTTTTGCAACGGAAATCAAGCGCGTCCAATTACTATGCTGGAGTGAAGCGACGGGTTATTTTCGTTTCCTCTGTATCCGCCGTTTTGCCGTACCTCGGCGCTGTCGCTGTCAATGTGGACCCCTTAGTAGCTGGGATGGCTCAAGAGATTCTTTCGTCCAGCGTTCGAGACGATGCTGCATTGATAGGAAGACCGATAATGGAAATGCTCTCTGGAGAAGCGCTCGGCATTATTGATGCTATCCACAATTTGCGACTTCTTTTCTTCGCGCAATCGGCAATGCCACCGGCTTTTGCACATCATATTTTGAACCATTTGGTCGGATTTCTCAAGACTATCTCTCGTGATACGGAACGATTAGATTCCTATCATCTACTTGCCACCACCATGCCGTTGGTCAGAAGAATTGCAGCCTATGTGCCCGAGATCGCCCTTCGTGACTTGAAACGTAACAAAGTCGAAGCAATCCTCTTACCGTCCGGGTATCTTTGGTTTCCTGCTACTGCACCTACAGGCCCGATGTTTCCTCGATCGCTTTCTACTTTTCCCGAAAGCGAAGATGGCGTCCCTCTCGATGAACTCAAAATGTTAGCCATTCGCACGATTCAGAATCTGATGGTGCTCCAGGTCAGTCGGCTGTTTTCATGGAAGATTCCCGTTCCAATTTGACGCATAACAGTTACTCGTGAAAGAGCCAAAGGACGTATATACGTTTGAGAAGACCGCCCAGCCTGTGCTTCCCTCAATTTCAGCAGCGTCGACATCGCACAAGCGGACTTTGAGTGGGTCTACTCGGGTGCCATGGTCGCCATGGATCACCTTGGGCAGGTCTTATCTCATGGTTATCCGTCAGTTGTTTCGGTCCCTCAGCAGCAACTTGAGCGACAGAGCCAAATTGGCGAATTTGCTGGAAGGCGTAAACGCGACACTGCTAGCTTTTCCGGAAGATATCGGCATTGTAGCACATAGCATGATTGGTATGTCCTGCACCCATATGTAGGCGGTATAACTGACAGGAAAATTCATAGCGTACGGGGGCGCTGTCACACGTTTCCGAAGACTGGTAGCAAACAGTAACGGATTCGCGCTCTTTATGCCGTCTATATGGAATGCCTACAAGTCGCAGAGTGCTCACAGCAGTGTGCGCAACGCACTGCAGCATGCGATCATGTTCTTCTATACTGTTCACGGAGAGACGTTCGTCTTTCAAGCCATCGATTGTCTTGCAACGGTGCTTGGAGGCGAAGCAGCTGAGACGAGTAATAGCGGAACACTGCTCTACGATCTTTTCAAATGCTTGGACCGATCAAGCGCGAAAACCAACGACATCGCGGGTCTACAGCAGTTATTCGCGACAATGGCTGAACCTACGTTCTCCCTGCCAGTAGACAAAGCTTATAGCAGGCCTAAAGCACCAACACGAACCGTCAGTTCCGACACTTCAGCCTCAAAACTATCCCTTCCACTCTCGACTAAGCGATCAAACGAGGATTTTCCAATGGAGAATCTGATTCGGCTATGTCTGACCATCATTGCCCATGACGCTGCTTCTGCCCGAGCCCCCCGATTTCTCCGTGTGCTTCGAGTTCTTTCAAGGAAGCTTTACCAGCACTCCACAACTGCTCGTGATCTACTTCGGGATGGCATAGACGCGCTTGGCGTCATTCTCTCGAAGAACATCACGTCGCGTCTCGGCTTAGCAGAAGCCAACGAAGTACCTTCAGATGCAGAAAAACCCATACTCCCGACACCTGCCGAATCTTCACAATTCCTAGCGTTCCGACGAGAGTATTTACATCTTGTGAAGGAGTATACGTCCGCTGGCGGTGTTCCTCCGACATCGTCTATCGGGAAGACTCTCGCGCTTCTGCGAACTATTCTCAAGGATTCCTCTCAGGCTTTTGCTGGCGAAATCTCCGAATTTATCGGCAATTACGCGGCAGCTTGCATGAAACCGGGCCTTTTAAATCCCAGAGAAACGAGCTTCGTGCTCAAGGATTTCTCCCAGCTGTTTCAGATGTATGGAGATACCGTCGACTGCTCTCGGGTGTTGAACATTGTTGAGGAGATGGTAGCTGCATCCGTTGGCGCCTCCGATCTCGCCTTCGTTGACCAAGTAGTGGTGGAATGGTGCAGACCTGCACTGCTCATCTGTGAGGCTGCAGGTAGCGAACACCGCCTGTGGGACCTACCCCTACGCCGAGCCACCGTCAGTCTCATCTCAACAGTGATTATGAGTGGCAACATAGAGATCTTCGCTTTGCTTGAAATCAAACAGCCAACGCCATCTCTATTGGGTGGTCTTATTTTGCCTTTGGTGGTACGGATGGAAACCAGCCGCGAACAAGTGCAAGGTAGCCGGCCTGTCCAAGGGGATTTTCGTTGTACTCAGTGGCTCCGGATCATACCATACCTTCTGCTAGCATGCCAACTGCTCAAGTCGGCCCCTGCGACACACAATAGGCGGAAGTTAAGGAAACCGTCTCCCACCCGCGGCGAGGATGCGTCTCCAAGGGATGATGTCCGTCAAAGGTTGGCTACGGCCACTTTTGCCTTTCAGGCGCTGAAAATCGTCTTGTTACGCGCATCGGACGACCTGCAGCAAGCTCCCAGCCGTATATGGACATTAATAGGGACGACGTTGAGAGAGCTGCTGGAAGATGGTGGCACTGACTTCTTATTTCGTGAGCAGGAAGGCTCGCCGTCTCCATCCTCTTCCAGACCTGTGACGCCTGGAGATACGCACGTTTCCTTCGACGGGTCGTTCCTCCGTCCGGCGAATTTCCAACAATCACCTCAATCTTATTCTCCCAGACACTCGAAGACGCACGTTGGGCCCCCACGCCTGATTGATTTCTTACTGTGGACTACCTTGGAGCTAGTCACATCGCACTCTACCCCACTGATGCCACAAATGCGAGCATTCGTGCAGGAGAAGATTCAGCAGACAAATGCGCTTGCGTCGATCCGAGATCGCCGCATATCGCGAACCCCGAAGCGCGGGTCTGTCTTTGTTCGGTCAAGAGCAAGCTTGTCGCCTGATCCTAAGGCCTCTGCACAGCCAAGGCAATCACTGTTAAAATGGTCACCTGAGTCCACTGCGTCTCCTTCAAGACTAACGGTCAGCGGTTACTTCTCGGTAGAAGGAATGTCACCGAATCCACTCCGACCTAACGGAAGTCGGATTGTTCATCTGGGTCCTGTTCGCATGTTGACCGGCGGATCCTTGACGTCCGGAGGCATCGCTAGTCAACACCTGACTGCGAGCTCTCTTGCGATGGCGACTCGACGAAGTATCGAGGCCGTTCGCATTTGTATGGGATATGCCCCTCTGGATTTACTGGCCGAAGATGAGAGCTCCGATACCCAGCCCTTCGTTCCATGGACCAGAGCCTCCGCCCTGGCCCGGATAGTAGACGAATCAAACGCATTCATAGAGACGGAGTTCTATGAAGAACTCTTTGCATACCCGACCACAAGAGCTGGAAGCTTATCGCACCCTTGACACTCGCCAGTAAAGAGGCACAATAGCAATGCTTGATATCCTTCTCCTGACACCTTGATACCAAACTGATTACGTTCAGTACCACGTCGTATTCTATTTATGCTCTGTATTAGTGTATTGAAATGTTAATTATGTATCACAATCCACAATTGGATGGTGCACTAGACTGGTATTATGATGAAGAGTACAATGTGTGCAATCGAACACAGCAAATCTATTATAGGATAAACGTTACATCTTCTTCATTAAGATATTATTAGCCTGCTGCTCCGCCCAGAGCTCCAGGGTGATAGGGGCAGCGGTCACAGTGACGACCTGCGTCCCTGCTTGGCGTTTTGGAGTCGCCCGCTTCGGCTTTTCACTTTTTCCCTCGGCCTTTGTTGGCTTCGTTTTCAATTTCTTCCCTTTCCCTAAGGGTAGCGACATCGGAGCGTTTCCACCCGACTTTTCTTGTTCGGCTTTCCAGAGCATGCGGATTTCGCTCAATTCACTGGTGGCCTGAGCGCGAAGCCACGCCGGGGAGGTGGAACGGTGAATCATACAATCCGGGGGGACGTAGCCTTCCAAATCGCCAACTTCCTCTTTCGACTCGGGCATCGTCTTCCCTGGAGCGGATAAGATACCACCGTTAGTGACCTTGAGTAACTGCTCGATGTCCAAACTTTGACCGGGTGGGAGAGGCTCGGTTTGCGAGGGGGTAACACAGGTCATGTCCGTTTCCTTACGCAAGTACTTGTCGATATCAACCGCAGAGAAGAAAGCCACGCCCTGAGGAAGGTCGTCCATCCCTAGCTTGAAGGAGAACAGACTGCGCGTCCAGATGTTCGCGATCTGAAGAGCTAGCGCAGCGCGATAACGGTCTTCGTCCTTGACGAGATAGCGCAGTTCGTCGTGTACCGAAATAAGGTATCGGGCGGAGATGTCGTACTTGTGTATAAGGTAGCGCATAGCGACGATGAGCAAATGGAGATAGTCGACCCCGGAGCTCTGGACGACCCAGTTGATCCGGGAAGGAAGGTACTCCGACGGGTCTAGATACTCCTTCGTCAGTGCTCGAGTGATGCCACAGCCGAGAGCAGGCGTGAGGGGCTTGTCGCTCAGGGCGATCTCCTCGAGTTTGTTGAATAGGAAACTCTCTGTGCCCCCGAACCAGAACTTGCGGTCGAAGAACCTGTCTGTGCGCGTCGTCTGACCCTTCGTGCTCGCATACAACTTCTGTACGAGGGACTTGGCGTCGTCCACCAGCAGCTTAGGGTTACTCTGTAGCATGAGCAGCTGGGCGTGCTTGAGCCCCGCACCGTATATCCTAGAATAGTTGAATATCTTCGCCTGATCACGTGAGATACCCAAGATATTCGCAGTCTTGGAATGCAAGTCCGTGCCATTCGCCTTGGTGCCTTCAAGTGTCATCCAGCCAATCGCAGTCGCACCGTGCATCCCGAACTGGGCGTCTCCCATTACGCTCGAGATCCACAACTCCTCCGAATCGACATCCGCACCGACGATAGAATACCCCTCGGGCGCACGCACCATCGCTTTGAGCTCCGAACCGACCCTGTTAGGTTTGGCGTTCGAGGCGGTCAGCCAGGTCTTCTCGATCGCTCGCCGGGTGACGGTACCCATGGCGATCACTTGGGGGAGGATGATCCCACGTTTCTTGCCCGGGGCTTGGTTGTTCGGCTCGTTCGCGAAGCCCATGTCGAGACTGGAAGGGGAAGTCGAAGCTGACGCTGATGCAGAGACCGACGCCGACGCCGAAGTCGCCTGATCCTGCCAAACCACCATCTGGTTCATAACCCGATCCCTAGCACTGATCCAATACGAGCACTGAGCGTTCATATCCATCGCGTCCGCCGCACACCTCTGCGCATCCGCATCCGCGTCCTCGCCATTGTCGGCCGTAAGGATCCCATCCGAAGCATACTTTACGAACGTCTTCGCCAGAGGGTTCCCAACATTACTCTCTTCCCCAGCCTTATGCGGCAGCTTATAAAACCCAGACCCTCCCTCAACCGCCTGCGCGAGGGGGAGGTCATCGTCATGCGTAAAAGAGAGAGGCTTCTGGCGAGTCTTGTGTGTCGACACAGATGAGGGGGGGACACGATACGTCCACCCATGCTGCCTGGAGTAAAAGAGCGGGTAACCCTGCCACCGGAGTTTAAGCAGGAGGGGAGCGACTCGGGAGCGGGGGGTGATCTCCAGCTTTGGCTGCTCCCCGGGGGCGGAAGAGGTACATAGGTCCCAGTACCATTTAGGCCAGGTCTCTGATTTGTCGGCCGTGGGAGGAGGACGGGGGGTGACGAGCGTCCAGTCGAGCTGGGCTTCCCAGGGGTCTGGGGCCCGAGGTTTCTCTTGCGCTTTCTCTAGCCTTTCCCCTTGGACGTTCCCCTTCTCCTTCTTGTGGTGCGGCGCAACCTCACCCTCGCCCTCACGCCCAAATCCAAGTCTCATCCCCTCCTCCCTCAACCGCTCCACCAACCTCATAACCTCAGCTTCCAGTTGCTCACCCCTCTCTCCCTCTCCCAGCCGTCTCCACACGCTCTTCTCTCCCCCGTCACCCGCTCCCTCCCCCCCAGAGGGGGAAGCACCACCAGCCTCCAACCCCCTGAACCTCTTCGCCAAAAGCTTGTGCGCAGCCGCCCTGCCCAACTTGTACCACCTCCCCTCCTGCCCCTTTCCCTCCTTTCCCTGCCCCTCCCCTCCCCTGCCTTCTCCCTGCCCCTGCCCCTCCCGCCCTTCCCCCGCCGCGAAAGGCGCCTCCACCGGCGGCTCAGTAAACGGCACCCTACACACCCAGCCAACTTTAGGGGAATAGACCAGTGCCGACCCCCCTATTGAGAGCTTTAGGACAAGGGGTAGGAACTGGCGTACGTTCTGTTCGGCCAGAGGGGGGTGGGCTGTGAATTCCCAGTACCAGGCTGGTACGCCCTGCTCTTCTCCTGCTCCTTCGCCTGCTCCTGCTCCGGCTCCTGCAGTGTGCGATCCCTCCCCTCCCTTGCCCCTCCCCCGGCCCCGGCCCTGGCCCTTAGCACTCCCAAGCAGAGACAAAGGCACCCCCCCACCCCCACCTCTCGCCCTCTTCTTCCTCTTCATCTCCCAATCGAGCTGTTCCAACCACACGTCCCCTTTCGCGCCCTCCCACCCCCCGTACCTAGCCTTCTCAGCCAGCATCTCTAAATTCCGTTTGACCCTCCCTTCTAGCTCTCGGTACTTGTTTTCCGCTTTCCTGATATAGTGTTCCCACCCCTCGTCGACCGGGAGGAAAGACTGGCCCATCGTCCCCACCCCAGCCCAGGTGACCGGACTCGGGCAAGTGGCGAGAAAAGAGGGAAGAACAACTCTGAACACCTCATGCGTGGTCGCTACGTCCCCAGCACAATACCCAATGTACGCCGGTAAGTCCCTGGTGATCTCTTCCCGGGAAAAGGTGAGCAGGTCTTCCCGCGCGTCTTTTTCGATCGTGAGACCACAATGGAGGCGGGCGACGTCGACCAGTGAGTTCCCGGAGGACATCTCTTCCCATCTCTTGCCACGCTGGGGGTCGGTTTCGTTCAGATCGGAGTCGGAGTCGGGGTCAGGGTCGGGGTCGGAGGTGGCTGCGAGTGAGACTGTGACTGCGTCGTCGGAGAACACTCCTGCGCCCTCTTCTTGCTGGAGTATAAGCGCTTGTAGGCCCTCTTGGAGCTCCTGGATACGTCTTTCCATCTCCTCCCTCCCCTCCCCCTCCAGCTCCCCAAGCTCCCTCTCATACTCCTCAATCAACCCCCTTACCGCATCCACACTCTCCACAGCCCTAACCCTCGCCGCCCTCCTCCCCGCTTTATACTTATTCCACGCCGGCCTCTGATGACTCGAGATCCCATGCGTAGCGATATGCAAGCTCATCGTATCGACCCAAGTCGTTCCCGTGCCCCTCAGATCGTATTCTTCCCTCACTCTCTGCCGGTCGAACGCCACGTTATGCCCTACTACGACTCCCACCGGGCCGAGAGGGATCAGGTGCTGCGGGTCGGAGGACTCCCCAAGTATCCAGGGAGAGAGCCAGGAGTACCAAGCTCGTTCCGTTGCTGCGCAGGCGATCACGGGGTAGGGCGAATAATGCGGCATGGTCTCAACGTCGAATACTGCTGCTTGTTCGTCTTCCGGCAGGTGGGGAACAGGCTCGCAAGACCCGTCAGAAGTGTACATCGTCCACCCGCTCACTAGGGCCCATGTTTCCGGCACAAGGGGGAGAGTAACGCGTGCGAACGCGCGTGAGAGGGAGAGACTAGGCTCGGCATACGCGCGTCCTAAACGGTGGAAGTGTTCGTCGAGGTTTTGACCTACTAAGGGCGGGAGAGGGAGTTCCAAGGGAGGGAGGGAGGAGGCAGAGGAAGTGTCCAGCCCGTGCTGGGAGAGATGTTCCAGTGAACGGTGGATCGTGTGCTGTGGCGGTGGGGGGAAGGTGGAAGTAGGGAAGAGTTGGGCACGGAGGGAGGGAGTGAGAAGTTGCACTCCGGCGGCGTTGTGTGGTGCTTGAGGTGGTTGGGTGTCTACCGGGAAGGGTTAACGAGTCTTAGGATGAGATTACGGACGTACTTTTATTGAAGAGTGATGGAAGGGAAGTACGCGCTGAGGATTGGGATTCATTCTTGTGAAGAGTAGCGTGTGAGTGTGAATGTCGGAATATAGCATCGACTATCCTTGGCGGTCTACGAGGGCGGAATTGTATCATCGCAGCAAGTAATAAATAAGAGTGTAACGATAGACAAAATAGCAGATAGCAGAGATGAAACGCACAAAGTACTTTGAACAACGATCGATGACTATGAAAGATGGCGCAAAAAGTCATTCATCGCAAGATAAAGAAATAGCACAGCCACTAGCGTCACCACTATCTCAGGCTCACTATCACATGTCGATCGATCGATCGATGGCCAGATAAAGTTAACATTCTGTTTTGAGTTGTACAATGTACATGTACGCTACCCCTGCAGGTTGTACCTTGGCTGTACTGTATACTGTGGACTGCGGGAGCGGGTGAATAAGAAATGTCTATAACGCGTACTGTTGATAAACTGAGGGTAAGGGAAACTGGTTCAGGGGTGGAAGGGGGTGGGACTTGACAAGACCTAAGGAGGTCGGGAGGGGACCGTGCCAAGTTGTTAATCTATAGAGGGACGGCGGTCGGGAAAGGAAGGGAAAGGCGAGTTAGAGGACGGTGGTTGATGCGGGTTGATAGTGCATAGTGGCAGGAAACGGGCCAGGAGAGGAGAGAAGGAGAGAATAATGATATGCGTCGACTAGGCGAGGAGGTCGTGAGTCCTTGCGCGTGCGAGGTGTGCGAGCGAGCGAGCGAAGGAGTACGTGACGCGTGCAAGACGGGCATGCGTGGGAAAGGGGGGAGGTATATCCAATCCAAGTCAAGTCAAGTCCAGCCCCCAGGGCCAGAATAGGAATCCAACACCTCATTCACCCCCTCATTCACCCCACTTCACCACTTCCCTTCACTTCGTTTCGTCTCGTTTCGCCCCGATCGGATTTTGAGCTGACTGGTCTCGGGGTGCGAGCCTGGGGAAGTGGGGAAGGAGGGGAGGGTAGTACGAGGGGACGAATAAGGAGAGCGGAAAAGAAGTCAGGCGTCAGACGCTAGATGCCTGAAGCTACAAGCCCGCCCAGCCCCGGAGCCGCAGGCCCGTCGGATTGTGGATGTGGATGCGTAGCGTGGTTGTTCTGTCGGACGTAGTCGTACTCGTCGTTATAGTTTGTTACTTTCGTGGTTGTGGTTGTCATCATCGGTACCTCACCCACCAGGGGTTCCCTCTCCCCACCTTGCGCTTGCGCCCGCACAAGCCCCCCCGTTCCCCCGCCCCCCCCCCTGGGGCGCAGCGTTCAACCCCTCTTCCACCACTTCCCCTCCTTCTGGCTCGTCTTCAGCCTCACATGCACATGTCCTACCCCCACCCCGGACCCCGTCCCTGCCCCCCACGCTCCCTCCCCAATCCCAATCCCAATCCCATTCCCCCGAGCAGTCGTAGGCGCCTGAGGGGTCCTCGCTGTCCCCGGAGTTCCCGGAATCTGGTCATGACCGCTACAGGGCACCACGCTCTTCAACCACTCCCTTCCCATTTCCTGAATCCCCTTTTCCCTTCTCCGGCCCGCAGCAGAAGTAGGTGCAGGAGCAGGAGCAGGGGTGGGGGTAGGGGTAAGAGGCGTAGTCGCCCTCCTCGCAGGAGTCATCTGCAGCCCACTCGGGACTTTCTCCTCCCTCTGCGCCTGCGCCGGAGTGGGGTAGAGCAAATCCGCAATCCCACACCTGCTATTCGGTTCTATCTGCAGCATGCAAAGTATCGACCACCTCGTTTCTGCCGGAAGGTAGGAAAGCGTGTTGTCAGGTGAGACGATTATCGGTTCCTGTTCCCTTTCATCACCTTTCTGACTCTGACCCTGACTGTGGGGGAAGACGAGCGCTGGCAGGGTGCGCAGCTGGGATGGGAGCGTGGGGGAGGAAGCGGCAAACGGGTGCTGTTCTGGCGGGGCGCTCTTCGGGGGGAAAGCGGACAAGGGCGAAGCAGACAGTCCCTCCCCCAGCACGGGATGGGCAGAGAGCGTACCGGAGGCAGGGGCAAAGTTGAAGTTGGTCGATATTGCCGGTCTGGGGAGGCGATTTGGCTGCAGGCCACTTGGAGGACGGAGCCCGTTGCTGTTGCCGTTGACGTTCAGAGCCGGCTCGCTCGTTTCCCTCCTCACGTGCGGTTCTGGCGGTCGAAGGAACCCATTCCCCGTACTAGGAGGCTGTACGTACCCCGTACCATTCCGAGTGACCTCGCGGGGGGAAAGCGAAGAGCGCAAGGACGACCTAGAGGAAGCTTCGCTGCTGCTGCTGCTTTCCCGTTCTGCACAAAGTCGTTCGATGACTTCTTCCCAGTTCTCGTAGCTCTCCAACCGAGGTTCTACCCAGTTGTCGTTGTCGTCCTCCACCCCATCGAGAGAATCTGCATCCGCATCCCCTTCCTCCCCCTCCCTCTCGCCGTCCCGATTCCCCTCCCCATCCGGAGCAGACGGCCCGCTCGCCCTCGACCCCCCAGTATCGCTAGGCGTCAAGACGAGGCTCGACTCCACACTGGTAAAAGTGGTGATGCTCCCTTCTCCCGCGCCCCACAGGCTCGGAGCGGGGACGTCGTACCCCGAGCTGGCGCTGCTGTCGAAGCCTTCTTCGGCAGACCGTTGGCGAGGTTTCGGTACGGGGAGCTTGATCGTACCGTTCGCGGTGCCATTTGCAGCAGTCCCGTTCGCGGGCCCCTTGCCATTCGTGCCGTTCGCACTTGACTTGATACCCGTTGAAACCCTTCTTCTCGGACTCGGCGGCGTCCTGGGCCTCGCGGGCAACTCATGCAACGTACTGGCAAACTTCCTATAATTCAGATCCTTCCTCGGGTCCGCCAACGCCCACGGAAACCTGCGTAGCATCATAGCGAGGAAGATGATCCCCAAGCTCCAAACATCCGCCTTGCGCGCATCGTACATCTCCCCTCTTATGACCTCGGGAGCGACGTACGGGTCCGAGCCTACAAGTCCGGAGGAGAGGATAAGTCCCTTATCCGGGTGGAAAGAGGGCGTCGCAGTCCCAAAATCTATCAGCTTGACCACGTTGGAATTCGTCATTACGCAGTTCTCGAGCTTGAGGTCTCGGTGCGCGAGCCCTGTGGAGTGGAGGTAGCATACGCCGTCGCATATCTGGCGGAAGACGCAGTAGACTTCGGGCTGGACCATCTTGCCTGACATGACGACGGAGAAGAGGTCGTACGGGGCGTACTCCATCACCTGGGCAGTATGAGCATGGACGGGAAGGGGGGAAGGGGATCCGGGGGACGCACCTGGAAATACCGACTCTTATTCCTGACAATGTCCACCGTCTCGATGACGTTTACGTGTTTTAGGCCATTAGCAAAACAGCACTCGGTGGCGATCATCCTCCTGTACTCAAACTCCGTCTCCTTTCCTTTCTTCTTCCTAAACTCCTTGACTGCGAATACTTTCCCGCCTGAGCGTGGGGGGCCTTGGATGAGCCTGACTGTGCCGCCTGTGCCTTTTCCGAGTACGCGCCCCCATTTTCCGTATTTTCTGTCGATGCGCTCCTCTGATGCTGGGAACATTGTGTGTGTTGTGTTATTGGGAGATTAAGGGGTATTAGGGGGGAGAGGGAGGTGTGGAGGGAGGAGGGAGAGAGTTGATGGGTGAGGGAGGGAGTGATGGGAAGAAGGGAGGAGGAGGAGGAGAGGGGGCGGTGTGATGAAATGCATATGGCCAGAGAGTGGTGTGAGAGATGTTGATGTGATGTGATGTGTGCGATGCCGTGACAAGTATCGGTCCATGTTGACAATGAAGAACAAAGCACATTCCGATTGCGCCGAAACATCCCATCTCTCAAATCTCAACTCCGATACACCGTTCTCCCTTCCCACATTTTCCCGCTTACTCCATCCCATGTGGCACACAACTCGGCACACGGCACCGGCACACTCGGCACTTCTCCCCGGGTCACTCTCCGGCTCATCATTCCCATAACGTCCTTATTTTACATCCGCACCCAACCAGTAATCAACTATGATGACCCCATAAACACCCGCTAATCCATTACCCCTGACACACCCCTACACATACATCCTAAACACAGATAATACATGCAGCATATCTAGTATTATATGCACGGGGAGGCTCCAGCGATGACACGCGGCTGCTGACGCGCCCTCCATCCTCCATCCATCCCACCATCTCCCACTCCATCCTCCATCCTCCATCCCATCCCGAACCCCTCCGCTGCCGAAAACCAACCGAGCGCACAGCGAACGCATAGCATAACATAACGTAGAACGCAGAATGTACAGTATGTACAGTACATACAGTATTGAACATATTCAGTATGATGAAGCCGCCTGGCTAAGCCCGCCCAGCTCTCGATACTGTACATGTATGGCGTATGACGATTGACCACCCTCCGACTCCGCATCTCGCAAGCCTAAGCTTCTCTTCCCTTCTTCGTCCCAAGCACCTGCAGAGCCTAGCCAAGTTCCCAAGCCCGCCCAGTGAGCGGAGGAGATACCGGGAGATCTTAGGCTTGCTTGGTTGGACCTCCCGCCTTTCCCGTGCTTGGAATTTGAACTGCCAAGCTCGCCAAGTGCCAAGCGGCCAAGTTCACCCCAACCCCGAGGCGTGCTTCCCCGTGCGCCTAGCTTTCAGCTTATCGTTCGTTCTCCGCTCCTTGCTCGCGCAGGGAAGAACGTTCTTCTCCTTCTCCCTGTCTTGTCCGAGTTCACGTCGTCTTAGACAGATAGTACCCTAGCATCAATATCTTACCACCTACCTCATCCCGTAGACTACAACCCAGCCTAGCGTACCCTAAAACAGCCTACCTGACAGCTCCGAAAAAGGGAATCCCAACCCGGCCCCTCCCCGGCTGGCCGGCATCGCACCAAAGTTAAGGAAGCGAAGAGAAGAACCGAACGTGCGTCCTTATATGAAACACACAGCCACAGCCCTTGCTTCCTGTGAGCTGGCTGTGGGGTAATGATATGACCAGTACATATGACGTGACCGCTCTGTTCGTGTTTGGCTTGCGGGCCCTCCATATGCTCTGCGTTTGTCAAGCTGCGCGCGGTATCCATATGCAAGAAGCATCGGATGAGGGATGAGGGAATTATCAGTACACCCCGCATACGCATGTGCATCTATACGTCTGTTTCTGCCTGGGGTGAGGCGATCCGGGTTCAGTCGTACGTCGTACCTACTCCAGACGTACGAATTACGTCCCCTTTGCAGCTGTGTGCTACGTTTCCCATCCCGGGCGTGCGAATATGAACTTGCATATGAGATCGGAGCTGTGCGATCCCCTGGGATCCAGTCTGGGATCTGCGGGAAACACCTCAGACGTGTACGGCCGACAATCGTGCGGCGGAACATCCCAGAAGGGTTAACGTTGCTGTACACCGGTACCCCCCTCACCCTATAGTACTGGATATTCCCCGTCATATCCCCGAAAGACATCTTCAAGCCACACTCATGCAGGTATGAACGCACGGAACAGCCCCTTCCCCCTTTTCCCAGAACAACAATCCTAACCCCCGTACACTTACCCCGCAGCGTCAACCCCTGACGACCAAACCAAACCAAGCCCGCGCGGCTGACCAAATGCGTGCTCCGGCACCGGTCGATCCCGGCAGGACATGACAACACCCAAGCACCGACCAAGTTCAAAAGACCGCGCTAATCCCAAAGTCCTACCCTCTGTTCTGCGTTCCGACCGTCGTCTGTCTGTCGGCCATGTATTGGCTGATGCTAGGGCGGTCTGTCGTCTGTACATTGGCGATTCGGAGCGCTGCTGGACTGGCGCTGACGTGTGAACTTCTTCTCCTAGTCCTAGTCCTTCTCCTAGTCCTTCTCCTAGTCTTTCTCCTTCTCCTGCTCCTGGTTCTGGTTCTGGTTCTGGTTCTGCACTGTACTCTGCCTAATCAGAAGGCAAGGCAGACAAAGCAGGAGTCCATCACTCCACCTCGAAGCATGAGCCATGAGCCGCCAGCCGTCAGGTGCCAGGCTTGAACAATGAGCAGGCGCCACGCCCACAGCACGAATACATTAATCCTCTGCTCTGCTCGCGATCGGCTGACGATACCTTTCTTCCTATCTCTCAATCAATCTCGTTCAAACTCTATCAATTTCCCCGTCCGTCCTCCTTCGTCTTCGTCTTTGGCTGACAGACGGGTTCGGACGCGTACGGACGGTGCAGGTCCTGGTCCTGGTTCGAGTGTTGATTGACCGGCTCCAAGATAGCAGAAACCCGACAGTCCGACAGTCCGACGGTACTAATACATAGCTGTCGGTCGACGTTGATGATCGATATCATTCCATGTCCGACATTCTTCAGCTCGTTGCTAACCTTCTTCCGTTCGGCTCGCCAATACACATCAACATCATCATCACTTGCAGCATTAGCATGCATTCTGATCCCCAACCTGGAAAAATTGGCAACACACGCCAGCCTACTGGCCCCAGCATGACGGGCCGGGGCTCCACCAAACATGCATTCACACACGTATTCCCAGAAGAAGTCGGCATCCGCCCGCGACCGCCCACACCGAATTGAGCACGCACGCACACATATGCATTATGCAAATATACGCTCGCCTGACCTCGAAAGGGTTCGAAGATTATACTTCTTCATTTTTTCATCAGCGTCTTCTGCATATGCGTCTTCTTATGCGCATGCGCATGCGTCGCCCCGCGCCCCGCATAGACCTAGCCCCGCCCGGCCCCGCATTTTGTAATCGAGGTCTTGCGACTCGTCCATTGCTGGCTTCTTGCAATAAATACTGTACGCAATGCGCAATATGTAATATGCAATCCGTTGAATGAGCTCTGTCGATCATATTTCTGTTCGCCTCATCAGCTTCCTCATTATCACTCGGCTGCGGCACACAGCTGGCGGACCCGGGAACGTGTCCTCCAGCCAGCAAACAGCAACATCGATAAATAACAATAACAGGCTAACAATACCAGAACGAGGGAGGGGAAGGGTGAGGATGAGGATGAGGATGAGGATGAGGATGAAGAGGGCGGATCATCCCCTTATAAATCCTCGTCACGGAGCTCAATGCCGTGTTCACCCGTAACATGGGCTGCCGACAACCTCCTCTCCTAACTCTTTAGGAGACAGATCGAATCCGATAAGGAACGCGTTGAATCATTGGGGTATGTGACTGTCCAGAGTCCTATGTATCCAATATAGCAAAATCCGCGAAGTAAGAAAATGAAGTATAGAGTCGAGAGATCCCACCCAGCCTTCCCGCCTAGAGGCTAACGACCGCAGCGAGCGCGACGAGCGTGCCTACCACGCCAACGGTCCACGCCTTGACCTCCTTCCTTCCCGCCCCACTCCCACTCCCAGTAGTAGAGATAAAGCTCTGGTTGCTCATGCCAATCTGCGGCACCCCGGTCGAGTCGTTCCCCGTAAAGATATAACTCTGCGCACCCGGTGCAGGCTGGGTCCAGCTACTGCACACAATGGACAGGTTCTCGACGTACACGACGAAGGAGTTGTTGTTCGCTACGTAGTCCGGGTCGGCCCAGTTGATCATCCCCCCTCCCCACTCGATCGTCCCCTGTGCGGAGGAGGAGATGCCTGCTGGCCAGATGCTGCGCGGGGTCAGCTGCGTTCAAATGTGGAAGAAGGGGGACTCACGAGATCTGGACACGACTAGGTGTGCTAGGGTACTCGTACCTCGTCCCAGAAGAATCAGTCTTGAGCGTATCGTTCTTCTGTACCGTGCGGACAACTGCGCCGTCCACGAGCCACTGGAGCGTCTCAGGCTGCCAATCGATCTGCGCGCATACATTTAGCTCTGCTCTGCTCAGCCATAGGGAAGAGGACGAGTACGCACCGTGAAGTTGTGGAAGTTGTCATACGTGTCCGAGAGCCCGTCCGTCGTCTCCCCATTAGTAGCGGAATAGTTCGCTACCCCAAGCCTAAACCTCATGAGCCCCCTTCTCACAGAACGCTCCCGCGCCCACTCACCAGTAATAGTTCGACTGACCCTGGGTCGTCGCCGACCCCGGGAACTCCCAATCAATCTCATCCTTCACATCACTCATAGTAATAAAAGCCGTGACGACGCCGCCCCATCTCCCCGTCTTGAGGCTGGCCGTAATGGTCCCATAGTCCACGTACCGTGTGGTACTCAGTCTCGTACCCCCATTCGTCTCGGTCAGGATCATCCCCAGCCCCTGGGGAGACCAAGCGATGTTCCCCTTGTCCAGCGTCCACGCGTACCGAGTAGCGTCGTTGTTGAACCCTGTAGCGTTCATGAGAACGAGAGAGGACGCGTTGGGGGAAGTGAAGTCGTATGTCGCGGACTGGCAGATCGGCTCGGGTTCGCAGGAAGTGAGGGAGTGGGACCAGAGGGCGTTGCAGCCGCCTCGGCAGTACTGGGAGATGTTAGGAGTGGAGAAGGGGAGAAAGAAGGAGGACGTACTGTGCTCCCCGAACCGCAAAAGCCGAATTCAGAGCAGCAGGGTGTGGCAGCGGGGCAGAGGGTTCCAGGACCGCTATGAGCAGTCAGTACTCGTTCATGTTCATGTTACTAGACGCACCAGCCCTGAGCGAGAGCACTACCCGCAAGGGAGAGCAGTACACTCGCTGAAGCGAGAACAGAGGTAGAGAGCATTAGTGTCGCTAGTCGTAGGGAGTGTTGGTGGTTAGGTCGTCAAACTAGTGCTGTCGATGATGTCCGTCGTCCGTCAAGTAGTGAAAGATGAGGACAGCAATAAGGAGAAGGGGATAATTGTTTTGGTGTATTGTCAGAAGTGAAGATTGGACAATGCCGGTGCGAGTGGGAGAGTGGTATAACAGATGGTTTATGATGTTGCAGTGTTACTGTTAAGCGACCAGCAATGCACAAAAAGGAACGGAACGACACGCGAGGAACACGGCCCGTGACGCGTGACGTCCAGTAGCTACGGTGACCGACACACAGCCCCCTTTGGATTCTAAATAGTGGAATGAAATACACACAAACTTATATTTAGACCGGTCGCAATTGTTTGGTACTGCATTCTCTGCCTCATTATTAGCTTCACGTTCATCCTCTGGCGTTATGGGACCTGCTAGAGCTGTTGCTGGCCGCAGCAGCTGGAGTTTCGAATCGGACGACACAGCGAGTCGAGTGGCCTGATCCCTCTACGTACTGGTGTGGACTGAGGTTCTTGGATTCTCTTGCTAAACCTGCTGGATCAGCTGCTAAGAGGACGCTGTCCCCTGCGCGAGATTACTAGAACTATGCCGCCGGGAGCACTGAAGGCGGTCAAACTCGCTTCCCTTCCTTGACGTCCGATTCCCCTATAAAGTCAAAATATCGCAATCGGACACTCTCAGAAACAAGTCGACGACGTTAGCATTGTCCAACCCTGGCGTTCCTAGGGGTGTTCTCAAGCCGATATGCTATTTCCTAACGTCTTGCTGATGGGGATCTGCCCTGTGGATGGACGATCTCCTCTTTGGGAGGGCGGAGTCCCTTCAGAGTTGAGGTTCTTTGATTAATACAACCTTCCTCTTCTGATTCTCTCACAAAACCGATCCTAATGCCTATGGGCACGTGCCGACAACACTTGCGAAAGACTTATAATCCTCGTCGCACCCCTCCCTCTCCTCTCCTCCATTCTCCCTTCCCCCTTCCCCTTCCTGCAGCTCGAGCCTCCGATCGTCTATTCTCTTCTCTGAGGGCGAGCAGAGCGTGCTTCCCGCCTCTCCATATAAGCGGATGGTCCTTCGCTGCTGTTCCGTTCTTAATCTTCCCTGTCGCACCATGTCGGCCTTATAACCTCAAAAGACTCCCAGCGCGGGAGGTCGTCCGTCCGCTAGAGCTGACATGTGGAACTCCACTTAACTGTTCGTCTGTTGGCGGACGCTCGATCCCTGTCACTCCCTCCACTGGTCGACTTGTCGTTTCTGTCCTTGCCTCAGCGACCAGGAAACGCCTGGGAGTGCCCATCCCTTCTGCTCGGGATTAGATCTTGCACTATCGGCTCTATTATCTCTCTTATCTCGGCCACTGGGCGGATGGCGGACGCGGTCGCCCATCTTCGTTCACCCACGAGCGGTTTCCCCGCTTGGTCATGGCAATTCGGAGATGGTCCCCCGACTCTGCCCTGTTTCCCCTGCCAGACCGGGAAACAAGACCTAGGAACATGGGCAACCCTGCCTCGGCTCAGAGTCAGAGTCAGAGTCAGATCCTAGATCTTGCACTCTCGCCTCTTGCTTGGTAACTCCTCTGACAGCCACTAGCGCCCGATTGTCCCTCCTCTTTCCCCAGAGCGGCGGAACCTGTCCGACTCCTGTTGTCTTTCTCGGCAATAGGATGGACGATCCCTCTGCTATGTAAACTTTGTTCAGGCAGCCTGAGGAAGGGACACCTGGGATCAGCCAGTTGAGGGCTGTGGATGAGCGTGAGGAACGCCGTTCTTGGACCGACAAAGGAGAAGAATGTTTTTTCCCCGTCGTCATATCCAGTCCTCGAACAGCTCATACATTGCATCTCGTCTGCGGCTCTACTGGGGACTGGGGCTCGGATCCTACTCTTAACGCTTCGGGTGCTGCATGCCCCTGGTACTGGGTGGCACTAGCGGCCACGATCGTCCATCCTCCATCGACAGCAGGTGCAGAAACTCTCTGCTGCATTTCGTCCCTGTCTGTTCCTGAGGATGGTCAATCGCGACTGCTCATCGGTCTTGTGCTTGGGAGCACTTCTCCCTCCCCGCTGGGTATAACGGCTGATCCACATGCAGTCCGTACGAACTCGATCCTCTCTTAGCCCAATCATGCGCTTGTGCATCCCCCTGGTTTAGAGTCGAACCTTACAAGTCTGCATAACATAAAAGAACTATCATTCCTACTTCTTGGGCTCAAATACACAACATGCTAGTGGAAGCCTGAGGATTCTGCCAGTGTTGAACGGATGCCGCTCCCAGTGTACAGAGCCGTCAGTCTAGTCACGACACGCAGAGGCCCTGGGCTTGCTCCTCCCGTCTGGGTCTGTATAGGCTTACAACCCGCATTCCAGGAACCGGGTGATGCAAAACAAGATGATCAACTTGACCGGTTTTCTTGCTTGTGATCCCCGTTTGCTATGGGCCTACAGTGCACCGTGTACCTGTGCACCCGTTCTCTCCTGTGTTCTGGGTTCTTTGCCTCTCTCTGCCTCTGGCGGACCTGGACCACCAACAGGTGGCTGTCAGACAGTCTACTTCCCTTATGCACAAACCCAAGTTTTGATCCATCAAATATCTTGGCCCGTGTGTAGGGGATTTTTGCTGATTGGTCAGTCATCTGTTGTCGGTCTTTGATCCTTGCTGTTCGGATTACTTCTGTCAAGTTATGTTATGGGTCTGGATTGGGCGATCCAAGTCTGATGTATGCCTTTCTGAGGAGTTGTAATGTCATTTGTCTGGGGAGGAAAGGGAACGAACGTTCTGTCAACCTCCTTCCGACTATTGTCACAACCCAGACTTCCTGTAATACCGCATACATTCGTTTAAAAATCAGTTTTGCATACTGGTTACAATCGACTTTGGTTTTTCCTAGTCTTGGGCGTTCTTATGCTGGTCGATCACCCCTCTTTTCGAGCATAAAAGCGAACGTCTGCGTCCCGACAACGATATGCGCCCCTCTGTTCCTCTCCCTCCCCTGCTACCTGTGCTACACACGATACATATTTTCCTTGCGTGCGTTGGGTAGAATGCACATGTTGAGCCATGTACTTCGCAAGGATTGTGACCAAACGCACGCACGGTTTGTATGTGTCAACCCCGGGGCTGCTCGTTGCTTGCTTTGCTCTGAAGCCCGATACCGGTGGTCTGACGCTCCCCGATACAGCAAAGTCTTTGGAATACGTGGAGACCGTAGCAAACGTCGCTTTGTGCTAGAACCAAACGACTTTGCAAGCTCGCTCTGATTCCCATGTTCTGGTGGACCCTCCGGCTTCGAGTCTCTATCGAACCTTATCTTCGGATCTGCGCTTCCTCGTTCAAAGCCTCTTTGGTTGGCGATGGATACATCTAGAGCCTTTGCTGTCACTGTGGACCGCATGCTTCACCCTTCTTAGTATGACAGGAATGATCTTAACGCTCCGAGCTTTCCGGAAGTTGGAGATTCCCTCATCTAACGACCTATCTTCCTGACATGAGACGGCTGCCGTATGGTTCATTACTGGGTCGGAACTTGTTCGGATGCCACAAGATCGGCTGCCCTTCATCCTCTACTGGTGCTCGCTGCGACGTGGCCCTGTCTCATGAAGTTCTCTTCGTGAGTCTTGCCGGGAACGGGCGGATTTTGGCATCTAGCGCTGTGTCTACCTTGCATGCACAGGCATGGGAGCTGGATGTCAAATCTGCAACTATTCCTCTCGTGTCTTTCGTGTACGGCATGATTCGGCTTCAGCGTCCTCAATGTCAAGGGAACAATCCTGGTAATCCGGAGCTGGTAACGGTTGCCCGTGTCCTCCCAATACGGAACTGACTAATGTCTTCCGAGGAGCCATCGGCAGGTACTACTCCGCATGCTCCCCGTGAGCCACGCGGTCAGCTCCGAATGCCGGAGCGGACACAACAGACTGAAACTGAATACATCTCGCATCGCTTGATCCCCAACCCCGTGTTATCGCCGTGTATGTATTCTTGGATCGAGATCTTGGTAACCTCGTGAGACTTGGAGATTTTTACGAAACGAACTAGCGTCGTAATAGAATATTCTCCTGTTTGTGATGCCCTTGGGAACGGTACGTCTAATGTATGCTATTTCCTTTTTATTGAATAATACTGATATGTAAAACAGCCGCACGCACCCCCCGTCGATAAGGAACCAAATACTCGAATCAGCTTCGCGAACCACGGCACGGAGGTCCATGAAGTCGCCCTCTTGAAAAATATTTCAAATACCGCATCTTGTATGTGCCATTTCTATCATCTGATTTGCTTTTTTTCAGCGCTATTAGAAAATGTTCGATAATTGTGTACCCAGATACATCGGATCTCCGATTCTCGAAGTTGGGATGTCGGCGATCCAATGAAATCCCAGCCCTTACTTCGGCACAATGGATGGATGAGGTAAACTGAATGATTCGATTGCTTCAGAACGCCTGGGTTCCAGAACTCTCGGCCCTCCGCCCATGCCGCTAATGCTTCTCAGCAGACCAAAATATTGTGAGCGGAGAGGGAACGGAAGAGACCCTGTGTAATTCAAATCATGCGCTTATTTGTCCTTCTTAGGCGCGCCATTGAGACCTGCACACATGACTGCTACGGCAGTAACGACGCGTGCTGCTGAACAGGGTCATGCCAGCACGGGACCCCGAATCACGGTGTCTGCGAGCAAGACCGCCAACCTTGTGAACCTTCTCCAACAAGGAGACATAGTAAAGCCGTTGTTACGAGCCCTTGTAACACCTCCTTTACTACTCATTGAAATTCCCATTGTCTTCACCCTTGTCGGAGGTTCACATGGTCCTACGGAGTAGTTGTGTCTCACATGAGAGAGTGCAAACAAGAGTGGCAATTGTGGACAACTCTAGTTAATTGTCTGGTGGATTCCGTCCAATGAGAAAACGGCCAGGGCCTTGTTGATAAGCGAATCAGGGGCACTCTGACGGGAACGAGGGAGGCGTGCAGTAGCAGCCTTTTGGTCCATCACTTGAGGAACTTTTGCTCCCGCGGTTCCGAGCGCTTCTCTTCTTAGTGATGAAGAAGCACACCTTTCGGCCCCCAAATCCCCTGCTCTGGGGTACGCCGTTAACGAAGGCGTAACCCCGTACCACTTTTCACCATAAACCACCCACCATCTCACTCTGTACATCCACGTCTGAGAGATTAACTACTACAATGCCCAAAGCTATTGGGTACCCGGGCTCGTCTGACAATGAACCCCGAACCCGGCGGTTCTGGACCAAAGCCGAGGACGCCTCGCTTCGGTCCGCCATCCATAAAGGTACGCTTTCGGCCCTTCTGTTTGTCTGGTCCACAAACTCATTTGTTTACCAGTCGAGGGGAGCATCACCGGTCAGCCCAGTCACTGGTGCCTGATTGCAGAGCAGGTGCCAGGGCGCACCAACAAGGACTGCCGCAAGAGGTGGTTTGGGAAGATGGAGCGGGCGGTGAATCGGGGAAAGTGGTCACCCGAAGAAGACCACTTGCTCCTGAAGACGGTCCAGACATACGGAACCTCGTCAGTGAACTCCTCCGTCTTTTGGTTTCTTTGAGGCTCATGCTGGTTATCAGATGGTCTTTGGTTGCATCTATCGTGAAGGCGCGAAGCGTGGATCGTAAGAATCATTCCCACTCTGTTGTCCTAGCATGCCATTCAAGGTTTATACAGAATGCGCCAAGCGATGGACGGACGTGGTCAACCCCGAAATAGGTGAGCAAGCTACCTCTGTTCCCGTCTAACCAAATTAATTTTACTGAAAGATCACTCGCCCTGGAACCCTGAGGAGGTGAGATTTGTGGAAAGAGACTGGGAGCGAAGACCTGTGCTGAGGTTTGTGGCAGGATCAATTGCTCCTGAAGGGAGCGAAAGAACATGGTCACACATGGGCGGAAATTGCGCTTGTGTCTTTGCCGCGTCGCAGTGGTATGGCGGCCAAGAATAGGTGAAGTCACACGATACAAAAAGTTCCTGAGTCGCCCTAAAGTCATAGCAGATACCATGTATTGCGAAGAGCCGAGAAGAAAATGGAAAAGAAGAAAGCGGGGCAAAAGAGCGCCCCTGCTCTAGTTGGACCGACAACATCGTCTACCGAGCAAACGGACGAAACCACTCTCCCTCAGTCGACCCCATCGTGCTCTGCCCAAAGGAACCACCAACCACTCACCACTCACCATGTTGCCACTGGGAGGAGGAAAAAGGCAGCAAGCTCGCCAACGTTTGCTTCGCTCCCCCAGTCGAGTCGTCCATCCCTCCATGCTGCCGCAGACCACGTCAGGTGCGTTGTCTCTTGCACCCTTTGCAACCTCGACTCACGATAAACATTAGGTATGACGACCGACTCCCACAACCCCACTACCAGACTAGTCAAGAACGGCTCACGTACCCTGCTCATACCGCGTTTATCAAGCGAACGACCAGACCGCTACCGGATCTTCCCTACTTCGAAGCAGTTGGCGAGACGTCGACGGTAGTGATGGGTTCAGAAGAGCGTGCGCACCATCCTCATCCTCAACACCTTCCTGCGGGCCCCCACGAAGGTCACGATCGATATGGTCGACACGGCTATCACGCTCCACCTGCGGTGGCTACACCTTCCCACTGTGCCCTCCCCACACCGCCGGTCTCTTTCCCTCTCCCATATGGCTCAAGCCCGCCCCAGCAGCACGCAGGTACTAGTAGCGCGTACTGGGCAGCGGTGTTACCCGCCGATAATCGACTACCGCCTCCCAGGGCACCCGAACCCTCCTTGTCAAGGCCGTCGTACCCCTCACGCTACCAACCGAGCTCATCCAACCAACCGAGCTCATCCTCCATTCCCTACCAGAGGACATCATATCCCGGCTCCTCCTATTATGTAAGCCGCTAGTGCGTTGTTTCCTCTTTGTGTGTGGTGTGAAGAGTGAGGGCGTGGGGTGTGTTGCCACGCCCTTCTTCCACACTAATACACATGTATCTCTACATCTAATTACCTCCTCTTCAGTATCAAATAGCTTTCAAGTTTACAATGTACACATACTCTCATCAGCTGCATGAGAAACACAGAGCTCCGAATCACAAGCATTACCCTGACCTCGTACCATTGTGTGCCAGTGATCTCACAGTGGTCTCGCGTTGCCGGACACCAGCGTGAATGATCGTATGTACGTTCCCAAGCTTACTATCATCAAGTTGGACAAGGTTAGCTCATTCAAAGTTTGCTATATTGGTTCGCAGGAAGTACCCTATCAACACGACAGTTTTTGCCATGGCCCAATCTTCCCTATTCATATCGCTTACAAGTACTGATTCTTCTTGAGCCACTGTTCCACTTCAGCCCTATCCCGCTCCAGCCAAGCCGCCTTACTCCGCACATCGTCCAACCCCTGGGAGAGCGCTTGGACGTATGTGCTCGTATCCTTATCCTCGAAGAATCCCTCGATGACGTTGACGTCTTCGAACGTCGTGAGCGAGTCAAAGCTGTATTGAAGGACACGGCCAAGGGAGAAGTTCCCCTTGAACTTCTCCACGAGGTTGGACAGGTGCGTCTGACTTGCTGGGCGAGGATGAGGTCCAGCGTACGTTTCACAAGCGCAGGATCTGTAGAGCGGCACAAGGCGATCATTGCAGCCGTTTTCTGGGAAGGCGTGTCGAAATGACGGTAAATCTCGAGGACCTTCTCTCATTCCTTCACACCGCCAAGACGGACGACATTCGCGTAGATAGTGCGCTGGAGGTCACCGGCAATTCGGAACAGGTCGTTCTTCTCGAGCAACAGGTTGAACCGGCGCTTGACTTCGGCGATCGTCCTATCACCAGATCAGTATCGATCCGCGAACAAAAGGGTATAGACACACTTGGGATCATTAGCATTCGCCGCATTCGCCGCATTCGCCGCATTCGCCGCATTGGTGATCGCGGTAATCCTCCACTGTGTAAGATCCGGCGAGTCGTTCTCGGAGAACTCGAACCCAGGCTTCTCTGCCAGGGGAACCGAAGAGAGACCTGCTGAAAGCAAACAAGCCGTCTTGAACCTTTGGCGTGAGGGAACTGCCCTTCCAAGTACCTTCGTCGCCGAGTTTGGACAAATGATCGGGAGGGTAGAGAACGTGATCTATCCTTTTATCAGCCCGCGATCACATGACAGGAAACGAGTGGACTCACAGACGCCGATAATCCGAGCATTCAGCTTGTACAGTGTGAGCTTCCCGAGCTTCCACATGGGAATATTGAACGTAGCTTCCTTTGCCGTAAGCACCACCTTGCTATCCATGACCGCGGGAGTGGCTCATTGCATAGTGCGCAGAAGTAGTCCAGTTCCTCGAGATAAATACCAGGACCATACGCCGCGCCGCGGACATCATCGGAGTAGGATATTACTAGGGGAGCCCCGTCTCGCTTCGCTCATCATTCTAGGTGCAAGGGTCTTTGATTTGCTACATAGTTCCCATATCCCAACATGATATGTCCCGTCTCCCATCTCCCATCTCCCATCTCCCATCTCCTGTCTCCCGTGTCCTGTGTCCCATCTCCCGTCTCCCGTCTCCTGTCTCCCGTCTCCCGTGTCCTGTGTCCCATCTCCCGTGTCCCATGTCCCATGTCCCTGGGTCCTGTGTCCCATCTCCCATCTCCCATGTCCTGTGTCCTGTTTCTGTGAGTGCTTTATATAGTGAAGGTCCAGGGTAGAATACCTATTTGGTTAGGGTTGTAAGTCTTTTGTTCAGTCTATGTAGCTCTGTAGTCAATATACCTCATGCATGCTATACCTTGCATGCATGTATTTAATATATTATATATTGAATATTTGGGGATATGGGTTAGAGGTAGGGTTTAAAAAGGGCCAGGGTTAAGTAACCCTCAGCCTCCTAGGGACCCGCACTGCCGCAGTGGAAGCAGATTTAGTTCCACTTCCAATTTTGGACTTAGGGTCCGGATTTACTTCCCTTGCACGTGGTGCCACGTGAGCCACGTGCTTTTCGCGCGTGGTTTTTCCCCCGGCTTCTTCAAATTTGCTTCACTATATAGGATATAGGATAGTTGTATTACTACTCTAATACAAAATATACTAATTTCTGTCAGGGTCGGACATCCGCGTCTAGCACCCCCCAATGGCACGTGCGCTTGTCTAAACCGCCACGGGGGGGTCGCTATTAATTATTAGATGCCTGGGTCTTCATCTGAGTGGCGATGCAGAAGGCTTCCTGACGCAAGGCGCATCTCGTCATCACTTACCGGATTGGGCCGGAAGTTCGCAAGTCTCCAGTCATTTCACACCTTAAATTACTTTTTGCTTCGAAATACGACCAGGGTCCTTGTTCATATCTCGGATTTAACGGCCCCTCTTACACGGAGCTCCTTCTGCTGGACTCTTTCTTGGCATGGGTTAAAATTATCCCATGGCGGAGCAAGATGAAGAGCAGCGCTGGCACGAACAGTATCTGGTAGAAAACAGCGACCAGCCATCGTCTTGGTGTAAACGATACGGGCTATACACGGCAAGCTGACTTTGGGTGGAGTCTCTGCTCATCTAATCACGTCTTTCGGCATAAACGTCACCGCCGCCGACTGCATATACAGTTCCTCCCTCTCTGTAATCCCCACCGTAATTCGACCCCACTTCCCTCGGTCTGCCTATCATGCCATCCACACTTCGACTATCAACACCGGTATACCAAGACCCCCACATATCCCACAGTTCCCCAACACTTCGCATGCCTTCACCCTCCATCTCCCCCGAAGGTCTAACTGCCCTCCGAAGTCCACCGCTGGACATCGAGAAAGCCCAGCAGGCACAAGATCCAGATTTAGAACAGCAACATGACGGAGAGCTGACACCGAGAAATGAGGCGTCAACGGATGGGGAGGCAGGGGTGGGAGCGTCAGATGAGCGACATTCGAAGGAGCTGCAAAAAGAGGAGATCGAGGTTACGCTAGAAGGGCAGGAAGGCGCGCTACGATCCTATCTCTACCAGTCCCAGCATCTGATATAGCATTCCTTAGATCCCCTCAACTGGAGCAAGTTTAAGAAATGGCGTATCGTACTCGTCATCTGCAGCGCAGCGCTCTGTGTGACTTGCGCTAGCTCGCTCTCCAGCTCGACATATGCAGGCATGGAAGAGTCATTCGGCATCAGCATGGAGGTCGCAATTCTCACCGTGTCATTATACGTCGAAGGGCTAGGAGTAGGTCCGCTGCTGCTGGGGCCATGTGCGTCCTTACCCCCTCACGCCTGCTCTCACTAACATCAAACAGTGTCGGAATTCTTCGGCCGGAACGACGTCTACCTCATCTCCTTCGTCTGTTTTCTCCTGCTCAACCTCCCTGTCGCATTCGCCAACTCCGCCCCTCTCCACCTTATCTTCCGGTTCATCACCGGTTTCTCCGGCGCGGCGTTCATGTCGGTCGCAGGGGGCACAGTGAGCGACATGTTTGCGCCCAACGCGGTCGCGCATCCTATGGCGGTGTATACTGCCAGCCCGTTCTTGGGACCTGTGGTGGGCCCGCTTGTGGCGGGGTTCATTAATCAGAATACGAATTGGAGGTGGACGTACTACGTCGTCCTTATATGGACTGCTGTGGAGATTGGGCTCCTCCTGTTGGTGAGTTTACGTCCCCGCTTTGGCTGGGGAACGCATACTGATACCTCTCCAGCTGGTGCCAGAGACCTTCAGGCCCGTTCTACTGAAGCACAAAGCCCGGCGCTTGAGGAAGGAAACGGGCGACAGCAGATATTTCGCGCCTATCGAGAAGAGCAACAAGTCCATCCTGGCGACCGTCGCTCGCTCATGCTACACGCCCTTCAACATCCTCTTCCACGAGCCCATGGCCCTTCTGCTGAACACATGGACATCATTGCTACTCGGCATCCTCTACCTCTTCTTCAACGCATTCCCCATCGTCTTCCGGGACGGGCACGGCTTCTCGCTCCAAGAAACCGGGCTCACGTTCATCGGTATGGGGATAGGGATCGTCTTCGGTACCTCAACCCAATTCTTTATCTGGGGTCCGATAGACCAACGCGAATGGAAACGATACGGCGGGCCTCCTCCTCCCGAAACAAGACTCTACATCGGTATGGCCGGGGCGATCACGGTGCCTATCGGTCTCTTCTGGTTCGCGTTTACCACCTACCCAAGTGTGCACTGGATCGTCCCTATCCTGGGAAGTATCCCCTTCGGGTGCGGAGTGATCTGGGTCTTCACTTCCGTGTTCACGTTTCTCGTCACTACCTACAGACCAGTGGCGGCGAGCGCGATGGCAAGTAATAGCTTTATGCGCTCGGCGTTCGCTGCTGTCTTCCCCCTGTTCTCGACGTACATGTATGCCCAGCTGGGCACTGTAGGCGCCAGCGCGCTCCTCGCGGGGTTAACGCTGCTCATGGCACCGCTGCCTTTCGTGTTCTATAAGATTGGTCCTCGGATAAGACAGAAGAGCCGGTTCTCGAACAATGCTGCTTAGAAGGAAATAGAAAGGATGGGAACGTGTTGGGACAGATAGATGGATCACGCACTTACGATACCCGGGTCAAATGTACCTCTAATTGCAATATCATAACGAAGTTTGACGGAGTCAACCGGAATGAAAGCGCATAGCAGTTTCCACGTTGCACAAAGGTTCTGGATACGTCAAACTTGTGCGATAACGTGCCCATCTGTTGCACGAATACTGTATGTGAACGCAGCTTTGTTGAAGACTTGCAACGCTCTTGTGCATAAACGGTCTTGGGGACCTGTCGGCATTGTCCTGCGTGCCCCTTTCTCTTTCATTCACTTATCCCCGTTTTCATACCATTGTCCATAATCCATTGCTTGTCCTCCGCATGTTCTAATTTCTCAGACCGAGCCATAGTCTTGAGTCACAAGATCCATTTCGACTAATCCCGCACGGCACTCCGCTGGGTTGTTCAGGGACATCCTACACTACACCTAGTCGAGGACAGAGAGCTTGCCATCCATGACACGTCTGAATGAACTCACAGCCATTTCTAGTTGAATGATACAAGATGCAGTGTGCGAAACGCCTCAGCCCTTGCTGATCCGAGGGCGCAGTTGGCAATGCTCACGGAGCGGTAGGAATACTGTATTAACAGAGTTGTTGCTGACGTTAGAAACAGATGAATAGAAGATTCCAACCCGCCAGCGGTCCGCAAATTCCGCAGCGAAGCGTATATGCTGAATATGAGGCAGGCACTGCTGTAGGGCGTGCTGGAAGTCCGCACCCATTTACTGCCCAAATCTGACGTCATTCCGATTGGCCAGATCTTAGTGGCGCTGTCGGCTTTAAGCTTTTAAGCTCACGACCCTGCTGACAAAGCTTACCAAGCTGCTCAAATGGAGGAACGGTGCCGTGTGGGCCATGCGGCTCCCGATCGGCACAGGGTGCAGTGAAACTTCGGCCGGATTTTTCGCCAGCCTGGATCAAGGGACTCTCCGGAGGCCTCTTTCGGTTCGACGGTCTCGAGCCCTCTCGACTATCGATCGTTTGCATGCTTCCTGGGCCACTGCATAAATAACCAGACATGGAGGACATTGGTCGACAAACGAAGACAATTGGTCTTCAGTACTCATTTCCACTGCAAACAACTGCGATTCGCAGTACACTGTCAACTGGTTGCAGTTCGGAACTTCCCCCTACAACCCCGTCAGCATATACCGTGACGACCCAACGCAATCCACCAACAATATGGCCAAGGGATCAGCTTTATCGCCTGCTCCGCCTATGATTCACGAGCCAGGATCGTCTGGCTGCAGCTCTTTGACGCTCCCTGTGGACTCGGGCTCATCACAGGTCACAGTAACACACCACGAAGGTAGTGACCTGGAGAAAGGTCGTCCACCTCCGAACAGCGACCCATCGATCGACGGTGATGTTCCACCTGCTCTTCAGGAGGCCTCCACCAACGAAATCAACAAAAACGAAATCGAGGTGACACTTGATGGTAATGAAGGTGCGTGGACTTACCCTTTTGGGCTGACACGTATCTGATGAACATTCTCAGACCCACTGAATTGGAGTCGCCTCCGCAAATGGCTCATCGTCTTTGCCGTGTGCACCGGCGGGTTTTGTGTTACGTGCACGAGCTCTGTCGGCAGCTACACGTATGGTGGCTTGGAGAGCACGTTTGGCATTAGCGAGGAAGTTGCGATTCTCACCGTGTCGCTGTACATCGAGGGCCTAGGTGTCGGACCCCTCCTTCTCGGACCCTGTACGCCCCATCCCGAAGTTGGGCGAAAGCTGAGCAGTGCTAACACGGCTTTCTACAGTGTCCGAGTTTTTCGGTCGCAACAACGTGTACCTGATTTCCTTCACCTTCTTCCTTCTACTCAACTTCCCCGTCGCTTTCGCCAACTCTGCCGGATTACACCTTACCTTTCGCTTCATCACTGGCTTCTCCGGCGCCGCTTTTATGTCCGTGGCCGGTGGAACCGTTAGCGATCTTTTCCTGCCGAGAGAGGTGGGCTACCCAATGGCCGTGTATACGGCCAGTCCGTTCCTTGGCCCTGTTGTAGGACCGATTATCGCTGGGTTCATCAACCAGAACACGAATTGGAGGTGGACGTATTACATCTTTCTGATTTGGGCACTGGTTGAAATCATTATGATGATCGTGGTGAGTTAATTCGCTGCTTTGAATAGGGAACAAAGCTAATAATCATCACAGCTCGCGCCTGAGACTTACCGGCCCGTGCTGTTAAAGCGTAAAGCTGCGCGGCTACGCAAGCAGACTGGCGACAACCGATACTACGCACCGATGGACAAGATCAAGAGGTCTCTCATGCGTAGTGTCATTGTGTCCTGCTATACCCCCTTCAAAATCCTGTTCCACGAGCCCATGGCGCTGCTTCTGAACATCTGGACCGCGCTCTTGCTCGGCATTCTCTACCTCTTCTTCGAAGCCTTTCCCATCGTCTTCCGAAACGGACACGGCTTCAGCCTGCAAGAGTCTGGCCTAACGTTCATCGGCCTGGGTATCGGTATCATCCTCGGCCCATGCACACAGTTCATGTGGTGGGGGCGTATCGACCAGCGCATGTGGGAGAAGTACGGCGGACCACCTCCGCCCGAGACGCGTCTCTTCATGGGCATGGCCGGCGCACTCACCGTCCCCATCGGCATGTTCTGGTTCGCGTTCACCACGTATCCCACTGTACATTGGATGGTCCCTATTCTTGCCAGTATCCCCTTCGCCCTGGGCATGATGTGGGTGTACATCTCCGTCTTTACCTTCCTGGTGACGAGCTTTCGGCCCGTTGCAGCCAGCGCTCTCGCAAGCAACAGTTTCCTGCGATCAGCGTTCGGCGCCATCTTCCCCCTCTTCTCGACATACATGTACGCTAGCCTTGGCACCGTCGGCGCTAGCGCGCTCCTCGCAGGTCTCACGGTCCTCATGGCGCCTCTCCCCTTCATCTTCTACAAGATTGGCCCACAACTGCGAAAACGCAGCCGTTTCTCGCAAGAAAGGAAAATGGACGATGCTGAATGTTCACGCACGGACGCATGATTCTCATATTAGATGAGATACCTACACATTGTATTTCTAGTTGCAGCATTGAAATAGACATCCCCAATAATCCGCCCATGTATCATTTTACCACGATATCTGTTGTGAAGCAGTACGCAATGCCTACAAATCATGGCCGCCCCCCTGAGTCTCCCGGAATAAATCCACACTTTTCGTCTTTCTTACGGAGAACAATTTATATCGGATAATAATGATATTATTCTTAGCACCTTCGCCTCCCTCAAGTGTCTAGCCGCTGTATTCGTTTGAGGTTGTGTTTGAGGAATCCGGAAGGAGACGGAAGGCAGGCGACCCACCTCGGCCCCGATCCCTTCCGATATGATTGCTCGCTCGAGTTCCGTTTCCGACAATATCTCCGTCCCTCTCGGTGACTCTTCTTCATCAAGCATGAAACGGCCGGTGCGCACGATAGAGACTGCTTCTTGGTGCAGATATCCCCGGTTGCAAATGAAGTCATTGTCTGGACTTCGGCCGATATGCGGAATTTCTTCGGCTGACCAATCTTTTGGTACATTTGTCAGCTCGGACTTAGTGTTTATCTTGCACACAGAGTAGAAACACACATGTGCGAGTCCGTGCTTTGATGGAGTACTAGTGGGAGTTTTTTCATGGAACCATCCATCTCTACCCTCTTTTCTCTGGTAAGCTTTTGTCTCATGAGTCAGCTACAGGGAAACACCTTTTCTTGTTCCCGGAGAAGAACATTTGATGAACCTATATCAGGAGATACCTGTGGACAAAGTGAAAGTCTACCCACATTGTGTTTTTATTTGTTTAGAAGTTTGCCCACCAAATGATTTGGTTGCTGATCCAACCCAAGAGGTGTCCAAAATATTGGGTGTCTGAATATGTCAGTCTGATAGGTGGTGTGCAAGAACTTGCAGGGTGTCAGGGCACCAGCTCATTGCTTGGTCAAGAGACATGACTAAGCCTTTATGACATGGAAGTAGCTGGTATACCTGTTAGGGCAACACAGGCTGACTAAGTCTGCTCACCTAAGAGTGCCAAGAGTCTAAGCAGGCAACAAGGAAGTGGAGTAGACCTGATGACTAAGACCTATCTACAGTATAGGTACCTGTGGATGATCCTAAGAGACCAAGTCTGAAGAGACAGTC